GTCTCCATATGATATATTCCCAATACGCAGGCATACCAGTATGGATGGTCGGGAGTTGTCTCCCCTGAAACTACCATGACGTCCGCATGCGTTCGTGGGTTGATCATGTCATACTCGCGCCTCATGTCGTACGTAGTATAATGCACTTGCATGGGCTGGACAGAGTGTTACAGTAACATGGCACGAGTCCCCCGCCAGCAGACCAGCCCTCTGCCACCGCACGGCTATAGACGACACCGGAGCCTCACCAGCTCTATAGACGATAACAGAGCATCATTGACTCTATGACGATAGATGATGACAGATGATGATAGATGATAAGCGGCAACTGCCGGCTTAGATAAGCGGTCTGGACCGCACGTGACGACACATGACGACATAGGTCTAGAAGACCTATTTATGTTATCAAGATAGAAGGCAAGCATCGTGTTGCCTCATGTACTGATAGAAGGATACCACGTGGATCCTATCTCTGATGGAAGCGTACCGCATGGACGCTATCTACGATAGAAGCCCGCCTCATGGACGCTATCTCTGACTCATGTAGATAAGCAGATTAGAACCCAGCTTCGAGCTGAGCTTAGACACGATAGAGTAGCCTTATATAAGGTCGAAGATTAAAGTAGATGTTCCTTACTTTAATCTTACTAGGTACTACCCAGAACTAGTCTAATCAACTAGGTTTATCCTTGAACTCCTTGTCCTGCTAAAGCTACCTGCTCGACATCGACTCGTACCTTCAGTGACGCCTCTCACTGTCTGTAAACTCTGCTATCATCTCAGCGTAACCCCTCGTTAACCACCACGAGCTACGTTCGAGTACGCAACCTTTGCTTGTTTGTAAAGGCCGACGACTCTCAGCACTCGGTACCACTGTCGTGGTTGTCGCTGTTTAGATCATCCTAGTCGCACACGACCGCTTGTCGTAACACAGAGTGGATTGTGTTGTTAGGGATGATGACTAAGTTTCACTCCTTGTCTGTGAAGGTATGGTCGCAGTAGCTGACGTCTAGCTTGCGCAACCTATAAAGCACATGATCCTTCAGTTTTGGGATAAATTTCTAATAGTTACTGTGAGTAAGGTGCTTGCAAAACAAATGAGACTTATGTATATCTACCCTGAGAGCCGGATCGCCATCATGTTGTCGAATGAATGTGAATAGACTGACTGGATGATTCTGACTGGTGGTGATACAGTAATGCTTTCCAGAGGAAGGGACATCGATGAGTGATTGAGTAAGGGAGGGGGTTGTACCCCCTGCTTCTGCTACCCGCCATAGCACGCGGCACCTGTGCTTGTGCTTGGCTAATTGCGCCACAGTGTCTAGCTTACTGGTTAGTGGATAGAACACCTTTAAAGCTCGGTGTGCAAGCTCGCCCTGTAGAAAGATGTCAGGTACATACCAATAGAATTTAGAATATTAGTACATACAATTTGGGTAGTAAACGAATCTGTAGTACCAAAGAACCGGATGGTGTTCACATAGTCCCCCATAGCGTGGAACTTATAGGTATTCAAGTTGAACTTCTTAGCCCTTGCTCCAGTTGATTCTGGAGCGACATGATGAGCTTCAGAGCACTGAGCAAACCTTCGTTGATGAGCCGCCTTCTCTTTCGGCAATTCCTTGGCATCGAAAACAGCGCAGGTGTGGGTTTGAAACTTCCACAACATCCGGGAATGTTTTTTGAAGGTTTCCTCCAAAAATACCAGGGTAGAATCAGAATGGATTCTAAGCTTTGCAAGTGCATGCCACTGCGCAAACTGATAGAGCAGTGACTGCACAGCCATGTCATGTTCAGGAGGGAATAACCCTTCAAAAACTGGGATAGCGCACTGGAGGGCATGTGAGGGAGTCTCCAGACAAATAAACAACACGAACGAACCTGTAAAATGTCTTCAAAGTCACGAGCTGCCAATCTTTTCATCTCCGAGGTATTATTTGAAAACCTGTGAATAACGCCATTCCCAAAGGTTGGGAGCTGGCGAAATCTAAGGCAAAATTGCAAAATTGACAACTTGTTAGCGGGTAAAGATATTTGGCCCCTCATTAGCTCCTCATACCTTTCATCAAGGGCAGCAACCAGCTGACTACCTCCAGGAAGTGCATAAATAGCGCCTTCCAGGTGCCCAATTCACACTTGTGCATGATATCCACCACAAGCATGCGAAATGGGTCGAGGCCCAGCGGCCCGAGCTTTGCTGCAAACTGATTCTGCCGCGGACGCTGGTTTGAGTTCATCATAAACAGTAGGAAGCCCCATTGCACCTACCAGAATAGGAACCCACGAGCCTTCTCCAAGGGTATCCTCGACCTTTCCACTGTCTACGGTGCTTCCCCATCTATAAATGAACTCATGAGCCTTGACAATCTTCGCTGCAGCATAGACTTGAAGTCTGGTTACGCGGCTTTTCATGTCCTTCGCCAGACTGAGACAATTGAACAAACTTTTTGGTACAAGGCAGCGAGGGCACGGACAGGAGCCCATGTCCTTGATAGTCGCTATTAGAGCCCTGGAAAATTATAATTCATGTCATGTCTTGAAAGAACGCAATGAAAAAAACATACTTCTCCGGGTAATCAGCCAAATATGTAAAAATTTGAAGGTATACTCTCTGCATCACTCCATCAGTGCACTTCAAAACAATACCATGTCGATAAGCATATAAAAATTCTTCATCAATCAGTATTTCCCAGCAAGCCTGGAATAACTGCCTCCAGGAGTGGGTAAGAAGGGAGGCCATGCCTGTTTTTGATATTCGAGGCAGGCTACTTAAAACGTCTTTGACGCTATCAGGAAGCTGGTGAGGGTAGTTAGTGTATGAATAAGGTTAAAATATGCAATCAGGAGGACTCGCCGAAGGTAGGAATCCTATAAGGTGACATGATCCCGACGTAGGCGACGAATGTATGTACTTCATCAAATTTCCAAAGTAGGCATAGAGAGGCCAAGCCTTGGCAGTTCTGAAGTTCGCCAAGTGAGTGGTGTCCGAAAAGAACATAAGGCCTGCGATGACACGCTCCAAGGAACACCCGGGCTCTTTCGGTATCTTGTGCAGATCATCCTGGGCTTCCAACCAAGCATCAGACATGTAAAGCTCGTTGTATATCCGTTCTTGATGGCCATCTAGAGGATCATTCCATAGACGTTTGAAAGGCATAAGGTGAAAAGTGCCCACTTGAGCATCTGCAAATGCAGCACGTACAACTTCAACAAGAGGGCGAAAATGAAATCCAGGAATTGAAAAGGGCCTAGGGCCATCCTCCTTCGACTTCGTTGGAATGTCAATATTGACCGTAGTCTCAATCCAGTCATCTGGAAAGGTAATTCTCTTTCCACCCTCATCTTTGTCCAATTCTCGCAGACTCCGCCTCACCGAAAACCCCTGGAGGTCCTTACTGTCGAAATCCTCTGCTAGAATCACGTCTTTGACCAGGGAGGCGACTTTAGTTTCTGACACACGACTGCTACCGGAATTCATCCAGGATATAAGTCTATAGACGGTCATATTAGAAAATGGATACGGTGGTGCGAAGACCTTTGGCGGAGAATGGGCTTCTTGAGCAGCAGCTGGACACGTCTTTGCCAGTAATGCAGATGGAATAAATTTATCCGGCTCGAACGAAGGACGACAAGGGTAAAGTCGGCAGAGACCGAAGGAATTGACAGTCATTTGAAGCGTGTCTCTGAGGGTTAAAAGAACACACTAAATTCTGGATTGAGCTGGTACGACAGGCAAGTTTTGATTCAACGAGTTCCGGACGTTATCAGAGTGATTAAGGTCATCCTCGAGGGGCTCGATGGCATAGAAGGGTCTCGGAATTCGTCTCATATGGCGTGTCGGTTTCTCTGAAGCTGTCAGGTAATAAGAAAACTCATAGTCTGCCACTCAAAGGAATGCTAACCAATGCCATCCGACTCATCAAATCTGTGTTCACCACTGGCACCCATCTTGATGTCGGCATCATGTTGTAGATTCTCCAGGTCAAGGGAGAGTCCTGGGTTATCGAGACCAGAGGAATCAGAAATCCCAATGCCAGAGCCTCCTCCTTGCCCTACTAGCAATTGGCAAGGGACACTTGGTCTAGGACGGCCAATTCTCTGAGGTTCAAGTCCACACCATAAGTTAAGAAAACAGCTGGTTACTTGGTAAGATTACTCACTGCGTGTGAAGCTTCTTTGGCACGCTCCCGTCTCTTCTGCGTTGTGAGAACGCTATGTCTCTTGTACAAATAACAGGACGCGCGATGCCTACTGAGTCCATGCGTGTCCTTTGCGTTCTCCCAAGAGCAACCTAGGGCACCACACTGGGACACCATTGTCAGTAAAAACAAGACTGAGAGAAGGATGATGGTCCAAAGAGATGGTGTGTGCATTGGATGTTAGAGCTGCTGGCAAGGCAGCAGCCGTTTGAGTTTTTAAGACCTGTTGCAGTGCCTGTTAGTGTTGCCGTGAGGTGAAGTGAACCGAGATGAAGTGTATCGAAGTCGGACCGACTCCGACTGAGCAATGATGCATGATGAGCCAATCAGATTCACTGGAGAAACGACTTTTTAGTCATATAAGGGCATGTACATGGACAGAAACTGTACTCCACAAATAGACTCAAAATGTATCAGACAAAGTACCGAAAGGGAAAGGTCTCACAATCCGAACCCAACGAGCATACAGATTTCAGCATGGAACAGAGTGTGATTAGGCTATAGACATGCTATTCCTCTTAAGCGAAGCCGATTAGCTATGTTATCACATCTGTTTAGAATATCTAAAATGGTGAAAACCCCCTCTGTTTAGGCTAGGATTACATGCTGCTATGGATTTACATACATCGCAAAAATGCCCGCTCTTCTACCTGCTCTCATCCCCTCGCATAGCGATGTATGGTGTGCCCCAGAATATGCAGAGAAGGCCCAGCGATCCTAACAGCCAGTTAGGTCATGAAACTCAAAGACAGCAACAGTGCCACGAACCATTTGCGTTAGTTGTATTGTGGTTTCTTATCAATCTCCTGCACGATACCAGAACGAGCTCCTGAGAGAGAAACCGACCTCATTTTGAGCGAACTGCCGCAAAGCATCAAACTTGATCGAAATGTTGTTATGATCCGCAAATTGCACATGAGCAAGGTGCTCGATTCCCTGTAGCGAAATCAGCAAATAATGACTGTGGAGACCCCTACATGCATTAAGGATTACCAGCAAGGAGTAGCACTCAGGCTGGCAAACTCAAAATGACCATGTCGGTCTCGCAAACAGAATATTTATTTTTGATTATACTTACGACGGCCCAGACAGACATAGAACACAAAGTAGATGAAAGTATCAGGCCATACTGAAATCTGTATGACGTCTAGATCAGGATCACAATACAAAGCCATTAATAATGTGTTACATACAGAAATGAAGGATATAACTGCACAAATGCTGGTGAGCAGACCATTACTGATGGTAAAAGGAATCAGCTTATCTGGCACAGTATCAGGCCTCTGGAAACTGGTGTGAAAATTTTGGAAGAACATGCAGAGGTCGGCAGTGATAAGGACATCTTCAGCAGCTGCAATAGCATTTACAAACATCGACACTCATTAAGCTTCATGAGTTTGACGAAGATTGTCAAATGCTAAAGGGGTAGATGCATTACCTGAGCTGCCTGATATTAGACATAACTAACTCTCTTGCAATGTAAGCTTTGATATCGCTTACTGCGTGCAAGTCGGCAACCGTGCACTGGCGGAAACCACACATACATATATAGACATGCATGGGCAGCGATGTATTTAGAAAGCCCTTTGAATCACGAGCGCTCAGGTTGTGAAGCCATCGAACAAAATTTCGACCAGTAATGCAAATGAACACTTGAATGGAAACCATGAGCCACCGTCATGCAACCTATACACATGTCCGAGGTCACTGATGATGTCAAAAGATGGAGCATGCATAGGCTTTCATTTGGTGTTTAGTCCACAAACATACAGCGGGTATCTGGCGCTCACCTGTGTGCGTGATCAGAACTTGATGCATCGAATCTGACATGCAACGCCAACCTATAAGAAATATTAATGTCAGATGAACAGCACATATCGGACATCCTACGTAAAGCTGCTAAAAACTTGATGCACCCACGAATCCGAAGAATATCAGGTAAAGTAGTGTCCAGGGTCTGCACACATTGCAAGTGACTTTGTGATTGTGAGCTTCTGGCGGGGAATGAAAGCACAAGAGCATGCCTCCGTAGAGCCTGCAACCTGAGAGTTTTAATAGACAGACTAGACTATTCAATAATGAACCCTTACATTGCAGGGATCACAACCCCAATCGAGAGCGCTCTAAATATAGACAAATATATTATGATAAGTTATGTGCTCGTAAGGGGTATTCGAAGTATATGTACGTGTTATCCAAAGTAAATGGCAGAGACGCGTTTATGGTTTGGATTAAGTTCCTTGGATGGGGGGAGATTAGATGTTCCATCATAAATACAAGAACAATCTTTCTGTATACTTTTTTCCATGGCTAGAGCATGAAGGTATCTAAATGCGGAATATCAAAAACATATCACACTTAAAGTTCGAAACACATACGGCTTATACTAGTAGTTGGATAGAGGGGTATCTCCATGACTAGCGTAAGATATGCTGCTGCAAGATCTCCGAATGCAGAACACCAGACTCACAAAGGCATTGCACGTCGTTGAGTTGCACCCCAAAATGTCCGCACTCGCAGGGTATACTAGAGGAGGCGGCCTGTGCAGATACAATATCCATGGTGACGCGGAAGAGGAGTGGGTAAACCCTTTTCATGTGCTGCTTGAGATTTGCATCAATGTTATTGTATTTTTAACTGAAACATGAACATACCTCACAATATTGGATGAGGTCCGTCAAGACTTCTGAACACATTTGTGGCAGCTTTGGCATACACGCGAGTACTACTGTCACAAGGTGTCACATTGTCACGATCACATCATATCTAAACTCGGTTGACAGTTGATAATCTGTCCTGAACGAGGTGCAACGAACCGAGGTGGATCGAACTGCCTCAAATTCGAACCAAGGGTTTGTGGCTTTGAAAGTAATATTCACACGTGCTATCCGGTCAGCCAATGAAAATCGTTTGTTCATTGCTGCTGGTCACATCGAGTAAGTTTACATTCAAACCTCCTCTCACGCTGTATTATAGGTCAACCGCCAGACCATTCGCAATGAGTAGCTCTCCCGAATCAAAGAGCAATTCCTTGTCCAACTCCTCTGACTCCAATTTTAGGTTTGTTTATTCAACGATATGTTCAAGTTGTTTCACGTCCACTCATACATAGTATCCCAGCAAAACCCAGTCGAATGCAGGATCCACCCCCCCCACATCTATTGCCACCAATAGCTCTCCTGCCAAGAGTATAGGCTCTCCCATTTTGTCTGCTGACAACTCTGGACTTCGTCTCGAGTGGGCTCACACCTTTAATTTGGGAAAATGTCATGCTTGCGATCCTCATAGACACCCTGTTCAGTACACATTATTCCAGAACAGCAAACAGGACGAGGATTGCGATTTGCCCACGAAGAGGTTAAAGACCTTGCAAACGATGGTCAGTCCATTTGAGCGTTCGCTTGCGAATTTCCAGTTCTCATGTATTTTTCAAAGTGGAACTTCACATCTACCCCCTCCTCTGCAGCTACAATCTACCTCAACAAGCGCATGCTCGAGCTCTCTTGGATCACTCGGCGAGCTATTGCTGCGAGGTTGCGATACCAACGCCTTCGCTCTCGTGAACTGGATTTGATAAAGTCAATCCTTGAAGACGAAACCGAGCTATGCCAGACACAGTTGAGTGGAGTTGATGTGCAGATTGGTTGCATCCGAAATATGCTTCAGGACGCTGCAGTCATGGCAATAGCAAGCACAGGTTCTAGGTTTGACTCTAATGAGGCTGGACCTTGGTGTGAAAGTTCCTCCGATGAGGAATCTGTTGCAATCACCGCATCTCGTGGCAGTTCAGCCTGCCCGTCCGATGACTCAAATGTATAATTTATTTTGTGTTCATCATATCGCTGTAACTGCGTGTACATTTTATGTAACTTGATTTGAATGTACGTGGCGGCTTTATTGTGACTAAGAAGCTTGACATTCTGAATTGTGTTGTCAGACTTTGCGAAGCATTGAAGGTTTTACTACATCAGCTGACATATATTACCGACATCCAAAGTTGAGTTCGCGGGCTGTTTCTTAAGGTTCACTGTTGATTCGGATGTCGATCACTATGTGGACTTGACTCGGACATGTATAATAGAACACCTAGCAGTCGTCGATATCGTTGTATTAACCTGGACCTTGTACTAAGGATTTTCGAAGCACTTTTCTTGACAGTTCGCTGATTCCGATGTCGATCAATATGCAAATGTAATAGAACCCCTGGTTATCGAAGTCTGCTGACCTTGTCAGGCTTTGGCGGCGTCTAAACACAATTCGCTATCCAGAAATGTACGTAATATTATGTTTGGCAGCGCAAAGCTAATCATCGTATTGAAATACTCACTGGCCATGAAGCATCATAACGAGTCCTAATAGGTCTAGGAGCTGTGTCATTCTTCCAGAAACTTCCAATAGTAAGTATCCCCATTTCATCATTTCTTCTAACCGATTGTGTTCCAACCTTACACTGCATGGAGCTGATCAGTGAGTCAAATGCCCAGCTTGATCATTATGTGGGCTTGATTGAATATAATTCTTTATCAGGCGGACTCGGAAATGATATCCAGAAGGCCGCATGCCAACCTTCAAGTTGCACCACATGGCGTCCTCAAGTTCTGTGAGTCAAAATCTTGATCATTTAGGGGGCACAATTCACGATAACATTTCCATCAGACCAGAGATGATATCTAGAAGGCTGCAATCGCCTGTCAATGGTGCCTTTGAGTAAGCCTGACTAGCACCGCTTGTATTGTGATGCTCGTGCAAGACTTCACCGTAAGTTTACACAAGTACACTGTGACAAGGGGCCAATTGCAATAGTACGACCAACGTCGCTGATTCTTGAGTATTTAACTTCCAACGTCGCTGATTTAACTTCTAACTTTCCCCCATCTTCCAAGCCTGCCTGATGGATACCTCAGAACAATTAATGTTTACGCCGGTTGAGTTTGACCCCGACAATTCCTCTATTCATAGACGGCAGGGGATACCCATTCAATTCAATTCATCACGCTATAACCCATATATATGCAGCACGCCAAGCTCAGCATCATTGGCATCAGCAAGCGTGATAGATGATACCGAGAGCGCTTGATGCACCACCGACTTGCCGGATCCACAATCCCAGTGTAGCCTCAAGGACTACGATAAAACACAGCAGCTGGCTCTATATTGGGCGCAGAAGCGCCTCGTTATGGACGGTGCAACTACCAGCTGGATCAGGAACAACACCAAAGATGAGAAGGCCAAGATGGCAACGCGCATTATGGAGATCATTTTTCAAGCTAGTATAAAATTTGGTTGTGGTATGTGCTAACAACCTCCCTGTGCGCATCCCAGCATAAACTAATCTGCGCCGCAGAATTGACATCCAATGACTACACCAAAGACTTTGTAGCTCAGGCCCTAAGGCAGGATCGTAGATGGCTCGCAAAAGCGGGCGAAAAATTTGTGCACCTGCATAAACTTGAGCCGTTGTCAAGCGGGTCCAAACAGGAACGCAAGATTTATATGAACAAACGAAGGGCAGTTATCTACGATGCAAACCAGCCCTTCGAATACTATTTGCACGGTATAGAGGAGACTGAGACATCTACCAACATTGTTGTCTTCTCAAATAAAGCTGTCAAAGAGACTCATATCAAGCACTGGTATGAAAGCAAGAAATCGCCACTCTGTGATGAAGAAATGAGGTCCTCGATTCATACGATGCCTCTTGATATGCTCGCGGAGACAGTGACAGCAGTGAGTAAAGTATATTCTAGTGTGCATTCGTTGACTGATTCTGCATGATCTTTAGGCGAGGTGTGCGATTGATCGGTATGTCGAAGGTCGACTCTCCGGATCAAATCCGGTGCCGTTCGCTACCAATGTGTATGCCAATGAGCAACAATTGATTAAAGATGCAATGGTGTTTGCCCTCCAGCAAGATCTACATCGGGAGTCATTCCAGAGGTGTCTACTAAATCTTCATCACAGAGGCCTGTAAGTCTCGTCACGGCGAATGCAGCCATGATGCTCATGCTTTTGCAGTCAAAAGTTGTACCTGATCCTGGGCCTTCCGGTTCCTCAGATTCCGATTTACGTCCCTCTGACGACGGCGGAGTTGAGCAGACCACACCCAGTGCCAAGTCATGATACCATGACTGCCTTGCCCAGGCCTTCCACTTTGTTGCTGTTTGTAGAAATGGACAGTCAGGCGCCATTGATAGTGGTGGAACTGCAGATGATGCTTGCACAGATGTCAAATGACGTGGGTCTAAATTTGTGGGGCTTTCCAGATTTTGGCTTGGACTCGGCGCAGCCCCGACCTGAACTTGAAGGCCCTGGATCGAATCAAATGTCTTTCAGCATATAGTGCATTTGACTGAACATCAATTCAAGAGGTCAGTACAACTGCTGACTATGCCTTCGCCTGAGCTAATTTCAGCGACAGGTTCAGCCCATTGAACTCATTCAGAACCATTGTTACAGTAGCCCAGCTTTCCGAGTCATTGTTGAACTTTTGGTAGTACTAAAATTACTGTCTGCTCTGTCATGGCCATACTCTACAGCTGTAATGTATGGTGGATGATAGGTTACGGTTCGATTTGCCGATTTGCCGCGACTTATTTTGAAGTCTGATCACTGTTTGCTCTAGTCTTTTCAATTTTGAACTATTTGTTAGTACACTCATCTTGTGCTGAGTTTCAGAATCTATTAGACCACCGTGACTCGGATTGCTCTCCTGACCAGCGGACAAATTCCCTGACATCTTTGGGGGATCAGAACTCCTGAAAACCTACCCATATCTCCTGCCATGCTCTATCTCAGCATTGTCTATATCGATAATTTGGCTAGTCATGTATATCTGTCTTAAAGAGGTGAGCGCCTGAAAACCCATCTTTGGATCACACTAAGTGTGGTTACAAGGGCGTCTCTACCACTGGCAAAACACCGCTCTGGGAGCCAATTAAAAAAGGATTCCATACTCGAAGCCTCGCCAGCCATCGAGCAACGTTATAGTTGGTTTTGGGGAAGGGTGTCCTGGAGAAGTTCAACTAAAGCCACTTCCGCTGCGCGCCTTGCTAACCTCGAAAGTGTTGAGTGCGACAGCGAGTTATGCCACCATAGACCTGTTTTAAAAGGGATTCAATTCGGTCTTACCTGTTTTCTATGCGATACCTATTGAACTTGGTGGTCTTTCCCTTGACCCTCCTCACATCGGTGTTTTACTTGCGGCATCAGGTGTCATACATGGAACATTTCAGCTGCTTTCCTACGTTCATTTACATGATCACTTCGGTGCAAGAGTTATCTTTATCACCGGTGTTAGCTCTGGCATACCCATCATCATTTTATTTCCAGTGACCAATGCTATAGCTCGGGCCTATGGAATAGGTATGGCAGTATGGCTGTGTGTTGTCGTCCAGCTTACGCTGAAGACTAGCCTGGTCCTGTGCTTCCGTATGTTAATCCAGCACTTCCTGCATTCTGTTGAACTGAGAAGAACTCATAGCCTGCATGGCATTATTCATCAGAGCAGCCGCTCCCAATCGTGCCTCACTCGGAACAACCAATGGAATTGTTATGGTGGTTGTCGCAGTAGCAAAGATCATCGGCCCGGCATCTGCAGCTTCAGTCTTCTCTTATTCATTGCAGGAGGGGCATGATGCGTGGTCGATATACTACTTCTTTATCGCAATTGCATTTCTCGTTGTAGGTACTGCTCTATCGCTTCCTCGTGATCCTGGTGTATGGGAAGATTCCCAATAATATTATCATGAATGACCATGTACACTATGATCCAGTGTAGGAGCAGGACTGGCAAAATTCTACTATGTAACCTATACCTTTGCGAGTGAATTGCATCGCAGATGGGCCAATATTTATGGCTAAATATTGTCTCAATTTGGAAACATTGCAAGGAACCTATGGAGATCTGACGCCCGTTCAAGTTGGGCCTGGGGAGGGCTTTGTAGAACGCAAATGACTTTCCCAGTTTCCAAATCACTTGAATACTTGCCATTTACGCAAACTCAATGGAAGAAAGACGTATGTGGTCCAACACACTCCCGCTATCTGCATGTAATCTTATTCATACTATCGGTTTGCCACTCTCGGCATCCCACACTGCTACTGTCCGCATCTGCGGATCCGATGATCGATCACAACCTGCACACCTGGGCCATCTGGACTCCAGCATACTCAGTTGACGTCTTCGCTGGGCTCTTTCAATTTCGTGATGACCTTCCTTCTTCCAATGTCCCACAACCTCACTGTCCCCTCAAGATAGCCGCTGGCAACAGTCCTGCCATCGGAGACAATGCCATGCTCGATGCTCCCATTCCACCCCCTCATCTCGCCCATCTTCACCTATCTGTGTACAGCTCTGTAGGTCACATAGTCATAGTAAGTTGTCTCTCGAACATGTGATGATACGCTGCCCACTGGGAAGGTGTGCAATGCTTTGGACCAGCTAGGTATGGCCTCGCATCATCTTTTGGGTCTTTATTGTTGACACTCTTTTCATCTTAGCAGCCACGGAAGACACGGTTGGTGCTCTGGGGTTCTCAACAAAGGATAATGTGAACTAGTATATGTGCGAGAGCAGCTCCATCAGTGAACTAAGGGGAACATCATTGGAGTCTTCGAGCGGGTTTTCATTGGCTTTCAGGCACCAAGATCATTGGTGAGTCAACAGGCCTATGTGATTTCTCCTGAATGAATGTCAATCGACGTGCATGAAGCTCAAAGCTTGTATCACTTCGCACAAATCATGCATTTCTCCTTCCTCGACCTCATTACTGCCTTGACAGCATGTCTGTCTGTCACTGGACAGACCGACTCAAGCAGCTGCAAGCCATTTTTCAAAGACCTGCGACAACTTGAAGAACAGACGTCAGGCTACCCTGTATGTTCGGCTTTCTCGAAGCTCATCTCGACCTCACATGGTGTTTGTTAGCCGGAGAAATTGTTGTGGAGGGTACCAACTTCAGGCCCAATGGTACTTGCATCCATTTTAAGGCGGCACTCCTCAGACGTACTACTCCGGAGTGATTGGATGTGAAGTCATGAACTTTGAGACCTCCACCATCACATTAATCCACCGTTACCTGCTATTACTATATATTCTCGAGCTCTCCCATAGCTTTTCCCATTTCTTCACCACTTTCTTCAATACAATGTTTGACGACACTACTACCAGCTCTAGTAGCACACAAGACTGACTCCATGATTTCTCGGACGACCAGTGAATCATGTACGGTATGCTATGCTGTCAGTAACGCGTGGTCAAAGATGCCCCCCAGACCTTATCCACCATCCTAGCAAAGCTTGTAGTATGATGGTCTCACCCCCACCTTCATCCCCGGCCGACTACTACTAGTACTACTAGTACAGGGTCACCCAGTGGACCCGGGTGATGTCCCTTCACCTTCTGCAAGCCCTATACTACTCACACGGGCACGTCAGCGGTCCAGAGAACAGCACAGCACAAATAGTATGGCAAGCTCACCCATGCGTCCCAGTCGACAAACCATTCATGACTCTCAAGCTACTAGCCCGGCCAAGGAATTCTTTTACTAGAACCATGGCACACCACAACTTCCATCGAAAAACTGTTCAAGTCGGATTAGTCACTGAACTAGGCCATTTTTAGTAAGTCACAAAGAAGCATACTTCATACGATCGCCTTCAATATCTAACTCAAGGGAGCCACGGGTCTGGGCGGCCCACCAGCATATAAAGTGAGTGCTGCCAACTGAGCTTGTCTTCACCTCTCTTTCTTCATCTACTAGTACTTTTCGAACTTCCCTCCAAGTTCCTCCTTCTCTTATTGATGTCATACCCTGTCAGTGCCAGTGAGGGCAACATGATGCTCAATGCTGAAGGCAACACGATGCTCAGCGCTGAAGGCAGTGTGAGCCGCCGCATGTCCGAGCTGCCCATCGAGAACCAACGGAATGACCACAATCTTCAGCAATCTCCCGGGCCAGAATCATCTCAAGTAATGTTTATGCAAGCTCGGCAGAGATGCAAGATTGCCAAACTGGAGGAGAAGATAGAGACTCTCGAGTCAGGGCGAGCTGTGAAAGAAAGGTATGACTTGCAGTTGCATGTGTTGGATCGGGTTGCTTACCACACATCAGGCAAACGAACTACTACCTGGCCCAAGGAAGAGGCTTCAGGCGTGTTGTCGCTCTATTCGATAGCATTGAGGATCTCGTATCCGACAATGACAGAAGATATGATATTGATGGTGATGACGATGCGGAGGCCGCTACTGTTGAGTCAGTTATTTCTCTTTATTATTTTTTTCGTGGCGAGTGTCCTCGTTGACTTCTTTATGTAGCCAAGACAGGCTGCATGTAGGTTACCATGTCCTAGTACAAACCTTGCCGTGGTTTGTGAAGAGTGTCTTGAACATGGAGCACGATGACTACATGTGCATGTTAAAATTGGTATGTTTTTATCTCTATCAACGATCATGCGGCTTTATCACATCAAGTTTGTGTTTAGCTCAGGCAGGGGGCTGATGGTGCTCGAGGAGATGATACATCGAAGCTCAAGACTCTTATTTCAGACTGGGTTAATTGTGAACTGAAACCAAACCCTCCTGTTGACCCCGACAATAAGCATTGTCGTGGATTTGTCAATGATGCATGCGGTATGTTACTGTGCCCAGCTGAGCTTGACTGGAACGACTCAACGTGAGTAATACACTCTGCATCCTGAATAACGCTAACGGTTTACTAGCATAAGGACAGGGATCCGAGATCGATTGGAGGGCTATGTTGTTACAGAGCTCTCCTTTCCGACCTTTTTGTATGAAAAGTACAGCGCCAATTCAGAAGATCTGGAGGAAGGGCTCTTCAAGGGCAGAATTCTTCCACAGGTTTGTTGTACCCATACCCGAGTTTCCCAGGAATAATCTTACCTCATTTGCAGGGTTATAAAGGTTCAACTCACTGTCTTCAGCAAAGGACATTGAGGGTGATGGCGATGGTGCAGATGTTGTCGAGAACAACAGGCGAGCGAAGAAAGCACTCTCAGGAATCAAGGTCAAGAAACACGTAGCGCAAATTATCAAGATAGACAAAGTTACTCTGTGGTCTATTGCATACATTGCCTGTCAGGTAAGCCATGATGATAATTTTGTTGTGATCAATGGTAAGTGATGATTCCACGGGTAGGTGCGATTTGCGCTTTCATCCGTTACCTTGTGGCGGTCGGTTGATGGTGACTTCGACTACATACAATTCTGGCAGACCATAGTAGATTTCTTCGAAAAGCCTCCTGGCCGAGAAGTGCAGCACAGAGTCAAAAAACTCCTGGAGTGGTGGACTAGGTACACTATCTATTCTTACCACAAATCTCAATTGATGATCTCAAGTTGTTTCATAGGAAAGTTTTTGGCAGGAGTCGCCATGAGGACCTTAGCAATGCAACGAAGGCCTGCATGTCTGTGAACACTCTTGCGAGGCAGAGGGCGCGCCGCGATGACACTGCTTTAGATTCGAACTAGGAACATATTATTATCTTATTGTCCTGCTTTCGTATAACTTTCTTGCAGTCGTAGTTTGATAATGTCATGGCTCGATGACTTGCCCTCATGTGATTGGATGTATGAAACGCCCACCTGCAGGGCTGAAATTGGACTGAAAGGATCTCATATTAAAGTTTGCATCACACTGCCATGATGCACATGGCTAATTGAAGGAAGTCTTCACGACAATCACCACAATGTAGTGGACTCACAAAATGAAAGCAAATGACAAGACCATTGAATTCAAAGTCCAAATTCCTTGTGGCCTCAAGAGGTCTGTGTAAATACCTTACTTTGCCTGACAATCACAGTATTGTTGGATTGAAAAGCTGAATCACCAATATTCCAAATGCTCACATAGATATTACCCTTGCAGGGCGCAAAGGCACCCAATTACTTTGATGCATGGGCCAAGTATATGTGAAGGCTGTTGAATGGTGAGTGAAGTACCTTGGTAGGAAATGACGCTTAGCTGTTGAGTTCTCAGTCAAAGTACTAAGTGATAACTCCATGGTGTTCAGGCACAGCCACTATTTTTTGGGACATGGTCGCAAGCAGTGTACTAAGGCTGTTGAATGATAAATGAGCTGTCAGTGGTGGTGGATGACCCTTAGTTGAAAAGCAGTGCGACGGCGATGACATGTAGATGTCGTCATTTTTATTCTGATGAAAGACAAATATTGTATACATTGGAAGTGACAAAATCCCACTTGTCATTCCTATCATCACAGATGGGAAGTATAGATGTGCGAGGGGACAAAAATTAGCATGACAAGGTTAATATATGCTATTTCTTAGTATTCATTCTGCTCACAGGGCATAAAATATACACCAGCACAGTGCCAAAATTTCCAATGCATGATTCCTGTCTGCAGATGGAATCGTGGATGTGTGATCATACAAAACAAAGTGTGACAAGGGTGATTTACGTATTTCAGAGTATTTACTTCACTCATAAGTCAGCCTGGTTTTACTTGTCAGGTGACAAGAGCTGTCTAACATACCAAAATCACATCCATGTTCATGACATACTGGCCAGTTAAGATGTAATCTTTGTCTATGGACTTTCCAAAATTAAAATTTACCTAATGAAAGGTTGGCATGAATGCTCAGTTATTGCAAAGTGATAAAATAGTTATTCTAACAGCCAATGGAATAACCGAGGCTGACAAATGCACATACATATAATTACTTAAGTAGGGGCACACAGACCCGCAATCTCACCTATAATGAGGTGGGAACATTAAGTTAATAGGCCTGTGAGGTCATAGCAATTGTAGAACATAGCGACATCACAGCCTTGGTCATCATACGTGGGATACATTGTCAAGCTGCTAGTCAAGTCGACTATGCCATAAAAGTGCGTTGTGGATGTACATCTTAAGCAATTTCATACTGTGTGTCCAGTAATACTCAACTGACTGAGATTGAACATTCGGAGCAGATGTTCGAAAGACCCAAATTCAAGCATATAAGTCAATTCTTGCACGGTTGGCGCACAATATCAATGACTATAAAATACTGACTTCTGGGCGTAATATCTGTATTCAGAGCAGACGGGCCAAAGGTTCAAGGTAGCATTTAATTTGGTTCTCAAGCAATCGGTGCACACATTATTGCTTCAACGAGATGTTACAGCAGTTTTGTATGGAGTAGCCAATGATACCCGACAGAGCTACATTATAAATTCAAAGCGGTCAGACCGATGGACCCAATCAGGATATCATTCGGTTTGAGCTCGAACTGTGGACAAATAGTTGGTCTCTACAAGGTAGCGATTTCTGCTCTGATCTTCAGAATTGTGGACCTTGTTCCGGAAGTGGTGGGTATGATTCATCGAGATGGAAACTCAAATTTTGCACCACCTACCTCTCGATCTCGAGTTTAGGTGATCCATGAGCCTTTGGCAAGTTCCAAACCTGTGCATGTGAATTCGAACCTCTGCTTTCCTCTATAAAGCCAAGCATCACAATGTAACGGCCGATAGCAGAATTATGCTGATGTTGCTGAATGTGTGCTATATATTGTCATATATGGCTTTCTCACGTTTCCATCAGTTCACTGATGAAGTAGGGGTCGGCGATAATCATTAGCAAGGATGACAATAGAATCTTGCAATTGGATTCCACAAGTTAATTGTTCTAAATCGACGATCACGAACCCTCCTTTAATGTGTATAGAACAAGAGGTGCACACGCAACTTAGATTACCTCTGTTATAAATTATAATCAAACATGGCCCAATTGCAACGTGGTGACTCACCTAGCGCTCCACGAAGAAAGATCATTTACGTACACCAAGCTGTCTTTACCGCGTGTTTCTACGCATCACTCCATGCGCAGTGATGCAGTATGGATCAGTATTATTTCGTGGTGCTAGTTTATTCTTTGTTTTCTATCCTCAGAAAGGCTGGCTGGCGAGTCAGACCCAAACACGGACCATAAATTGCACATATCCAACACTATTCACCACAAATCCACACCAAAAGTCAGTGGACACAAACTCTAACTTTGCTCTTCAATTTCGGGCAACGTCATTGTCTCCCAGCAGTTCTCTGCAGTCAATTCCCCACTCGATGATCCAACAAACTGGTAAGACCTCAGCCAGATACTATGGCACTGAGGCTGACTTCAGAATGTATAGCCATCCAGATTTAACTGGCCACTTTTTTCGGAGGCCTGAGTGACGTCTGGCGATGCACATGGAAAGGGAATGCTAGTATTATCGTAGTAAGTGCATCCCGATTTCCATGTTTGATTTTGATGAAGACACAGGTAGCTGTGAAGTCAACCAGGAATCAAGCACTAGATGAAGAAGATGCCAAGAAAAAAAAGTAGGGTGCATCAGCGTGCTCCATACAATTCAGTGTTGCTTATTGGTTGTTATAGAGGCTTCGCCGTGAGCTCAAGGTTTGGTCGAGACTTACACGATACATCGTCCCACTGTACGGCACTGTATCAGGCTTTGGCCAATTCGTTGCCTTGGTTTGCCCCTGGTATGACAATGGATCGCTTTCAAGTTATCTGGAATCCCATGGCGAAACCTTGTCCATAATCAATTGTTTCCAACTGGTGTGTCCTGTATGCAATGATCTGTCTGAAAGTGTACTCATACCTTCGCATCTCAGTGAAATTTCTGCGGGTCTTCGACACCGTGAGTGACTAGCTTAGGTTTGCAATATAGTTGGTAATGGTTCTTTTGCTCAATTCACTCATGCTCTGTTGTTCACGGCGACCTTACTGGGGTGAGAAGAGGGTTTTCCTGAATTTATTACTGATGATGTTCACATCTGCAGTCCAATGTCCTCATCTCATCTGATGGGAGAGCTCATCTATCCGACTTTGGTCCCTCCGTTATAGTTGTGGAGTTTGCGGGCCCGTCATATTTCACTGCCTTGAATGGCTTGAATAGCACCCGAACTTCTTGCAATTCCCGAAGAAGGCACAATCATGATCCCAATATCAAATAGCGACATATATTCATTTAGGTGTAGATATTGGCAGGCAAACCACCCTACTCCGAGTTCAAGCAAGACACACAAGCAATTTCTCTTGGAACAAAACTGTGGCATCCAGTTTCTCGCGATCATTGATAGCCATTGGAGTTTTATCTGAATTGCTGGTCCATTGAGGACTATAAACCGTCCTCTCAGCAGGTAGATGAATACATCAAAGGCCAGCTCTACCTCTCACAGCCTGATGCATCATCTCCCGACTAATGTCTTGAGTCTGGCTTACCATCATGTCTGTCTGTATGGACTTGACTTCTTATTCTCGTGCAACAAAAACCATTTGAACCAAGTCCTGTATTCTCGAACATTCCTCTATAGTCAGGATCACATAATAATAATAATGACTGCAACCCTTGATTTGGCATCACTTATAAGTGGGCTACTCGCATCGGTTATCGCTGTCATCTGAACTTGAAGCTACGCAGTATCCCGAGCTTACCATCAACAGTGCATAGTACTCTCCTCAAGACGTTTACACAGCGAATGATGCATGATGTTCAATACATCATGCAGTACCTCTCCCTTTATCACGGTCTTTTGTTTGCTGATGGTTTCTCCGCAGAGAGGTATCGATGTTATGATGGTCAGTACTAATCAATCAATGGACTGAACATTCTACCAGGAAATAGATACACACGGCTACGCTGCTATCATTGTAACCACTTACACTGAATATGTTGCGAGCTTTGACGCTAGCCCGTGGACAAACTTCGCCAACGAGCCCCTTGCTGGCCAGCTTTGTTTTACATTCTCAGAGGTCGCTGTTTCCTTGCTTACTGACATCGCAAAGATCCTTCCTTTGTACTATTTCAGCACCAGGGCAATGAAATTAGCAAAATTTTACGCCGACGACTACCTAACGCAGCAGCAACAGCACTGGCATGACGCTGAACTGTGTTCTTGACACGTTCACACAGACCACTTGCGGTGCACTGATTGCCCATGGAAAGACGCCTGTCGTATGGGAAGGTATGTGCCGTGTTTCTTCCTTTGAATGATGGTATTGAATGGAAACGGTTGTTCAGAAATGGTCTTAGACTAGACTACTACGCTCTCAAACCAAACTATTGTGATGTAAGTATCATAATATCATGATTTGACTTTGCTGATTCAACTTTATTGAAAGGATTTGAATTTCTTCTGTGGATGCTGCAGGGGTGGCAAGGAGCTTTAGGATCATCCAAGCACCATCAAATCACTTCTACCTGGTTAGTTGACGAGTCCGTTTATAGAATATAATGGCCTTATTATCCTAGGATTGTGGTGCTGGTGAGGGACTGGGAGACGACCCAATTAGGTTGGTCTTCATCTTGTCAAATATACTCGATCTGAACTGACATTCCTTGTGAGAACAGAAATCGCTGGTGCGACCCCTTCAGAAGCTAGTCCGAGGTAAGTATGAATGTTGAGGATAGCCACACATCTCACAATGTCTCATTAGGCATATATCTTTCATCCATTGGCAAACTTGACTGAGGCGCAGTATGAACTTGTTGTTGGAGGTAAACACAATCTAGTCTCGAGGTTAAATCAACCTTTCTGACCAATCTGCAGGCGAGCAGATTCTATGGAGTGGACAGTCTGGTCTCCAAGATGTCGACCTGATCGTGTGGCCACGCGCTGCATCATCAGCAGAAATTTTCTGGAGTGAGAAGCAGCCCACTGGCGCTGCACTCAACGTCACCGGGGCACTTCCTCTCCTCATTTGCACATAAGTAGTGTTTCTTGATGTGGAAGTACCTCGATGACAGATGAACGGTATAGTCTTACGACGTCAGGTACAGGATGGTACAGTGCGGCATCAATGCCATCCCACTCCAGCCGCAGTGGTGTGCACTTCGACTGGACGCATGTGATATATATGCTTGATTTGGGACTTGATCCAAACTTTGGGTCTTTTCACGATTGGTCTTGGCATTAATCAGTCTGCGTCGTTGCTTACAAGATGTGTACAGCTCTCGTTACCGTTCACCCCAAACCTGACTTATATTGAGAAATTTATACCTCTGCTCTGCGAGAAGTCACGCAGCGAAATGGAAGTTGACGAAATGTTCAAGTGATGCACTGAACAATGATTAATGATTCATGGAGTGTCCACATTTTTGGCAATAAATATAAATTGTATTCATACTACGTGTATATATAGCCCACATCGATATCTTGACTGGAATTCTGAAAATAGCAGGTAACAACACCCACATGGGCAATGTTTCTAGATTTACATAAACCCTTGTTTTGAGTTCTGACCTACCGTACCCCAGTGATGCATCAGGCTTTACTTGTTCCTGAAGTCCTCCTAGAGATATTCGCCTATGTACCACCTACTCAAAAAACATCGACCCAGAAATCGCTTGCAGCGCTTGCAAGGACATGCAAAATCTTCCACGAGCCTGCGATGGATTTGCTGTGGACTGAAATCCATGGGTTGGAAGCACTGCTAGGCTGTGTAGCGAGGTTACATTCACTGATATATCATAGTAGTATAAGGGTCAGTGCACGACTTCATTACGCTTTGTTCGTTTCTTTTCGGCTCACCGAGCGTCTACATAATAGTGCAATGAACCCTGGACGAAAGGCGTTGAGCCATTATCTGCCCATGAGGTCCCTCAATTTCTGCGTCACTCCTCCTGCATATGCAAATTGAAGATACAATCTGAACATCCGTACCTTCTCTCTGTCATCCCCGCCGAGGCATGCATATTTCCGGGGCTGAAGTCATTAAGTCTTACCACCGTATATTTGAACCTCTTTCTGCCTCACATGCTGCACTGATGTCATCTATTGGGCATCGACGAGGGTCTGCAATCTTTTGTGACATGTTGCATTGCTCTGGAGCATTTATGTATCTATACTCCTGAATGGCTCCTGGTTGACAGCATAGCAAATCAGATGTCATTGCTATCCGATAGGATTCATTGGTGCACGCGGCTTGTAACTCTTTCTTGTCCAATGCTTGACTGGGCAACATGGAAGCACCTCTCCTCCCTCGCTACTCTTCTCAAATTGAGCAAGGATGTTGTGACCCTCCTTCGCTGTCAAAACGAGACATCGTGGATCTATCAATCCTCAACATCACAAGTCTTTCCTTTCAAGACATCTATTATGCTGCAGATATCATCACAGTCATGCAACACTCGCAATTTCCCTCGCTGAAAGAGTTCGAGTTTAGAGCCAAATGTATCTCTCCAGAAGAAGCCAAGCAACTCTTTCATGCTCTGTCCCGCTGCAAAGCGTGTCAGACTCTAGAGGAAATCACCATTTATTCTCTTAATGACGGATACCGTGTACCCCCAAACAGCGAGCCTTTGACACCAATTCCGCATTTCCTTTGCTTTACGCAGCTCCGACCCCTGAGGCTCACATTTTATAATTCCTGCATCTACCTGGATAATGACATGCTCTTGCAAGCCATGTCCACTTGGCCGCACATCCGCACTTTGGAAATCAATGACTCAGGCGACTATGCTTCTTCTTCTGAAGTCTCCCTCCGTGGATTATTCACAGCGCTCGGTCTATGTCCATGATTGCATACACTACGAGTTCCAATCAATCTTGTAACTATCGACATCGATCCTGATGCTGAGCCAATACAACATACCTCCCTACGATCATTGGATCTAGACTTATCCGAGTCTCAAACAACAGATGCTGAAACTATCGCTCGCATTATTTCTGCCTGGCTCCCTTGTGTCGACCAAGTTACAAATGTATATGGTTTGAGCTGGGTTGAAGTCAACAGGTATCTTAGATCTTTGAGAATGGCTACTGCGCCAGATGTTGTGGGAGCCTCCTAGAATAATTGAGTTTGGAATATCTTCACATCTGGGAATGTTGTTACATACCTTTGAGCTCTTTCGTTCTTTCGTTATCATTATCGTTGTCATCACTGTTGACTGCAGTTATAAACTACTGTACTGAGTACCTGCCAACGACCCACCGGTTCACTGTCATTAGTACGATTTCCAACATGATTGTGTGCGCCACCTGAGCTCCACCGTTCACTGCGCTCGACAGTCCCCTCCCTCCTTCTGTATACCTTTTGATATCCACGCCATGTGATTACACAGCACAATACGTGCTTGATAAAATTCAACAACTACATAGAATGATACATGCATTCAAAGGTCTAATCGACACTAAGACATCCGATCGACGTGTGCAGGCCCATGATTGATCTGATCGACAATGAGATCAAGATTGCAAGTATGTTGATCGACAAAATGATGCATGGGGGAATTCACACACCTGTAAGGACCCTCGACTGAAATCAGTGAAGTTGTTTACAACACACGCTCCCCTTACATAATTCCACTACAGCTAGTTTCAATGAATCTGTACATGCGATGAGCGAAATGAACCCGAAAGGCATGGACAAGGCGATGCGGATCAATGCCGCTGAGTTGCCACTTGCTGGTGAGGCTTATCGTTGGCGTACTCAACTTTTGACCGTATCTCCAAGGGTGGAGGCAGTGTAACTAGTTGTCACTTGTGGAACATATACTAATAGTCATCGGGACATGCTGGCGATAGGGCATCTTATCTAATAGGCACCCAAACACATCAGCATCACCGAATTGCTGACTTTTCTTCCATACATCTCCTTCTCCGCACCTATTTCCATATTTGCGTGGAGGGCTATACTAGATGGACACCTGGAAAACGGATTATCATCACATACAACCAATGATCAGTGCATTTTCTACCGTTGACCCCTCCCCCATACTCCTGGGGTGCTAACCATTTCCTACCACTCACTTGCCCTGCAATACCCACACGTTGTTTGGTGCTCTTCCCCCGTGTGCATCCCAGGACCCACTATCCAGAGTTTGCTTGCAGTGTGACAGGTGTTTGATGCATTTCCGAACGCCTTTTTTCCGTCTCAAATGAAAACAAAACCGAGCGGTCCCTAACTCCGCATTAATTCATAGGAACTACTTCCAACTTTGTTATACAAGATAATAATCTAGGATCTTTCACAAGGACATCCGACATACATGGTGCATCATCACATTCGTGCATGTGAAAAACTTATCGCATCTTGGACAAACAGCCACAATCTTCTTCTCATGCACCTCGTTAATGTGACGGCTGAGGCCATCCTTGTTGATGAATTTCGGACACTTGTCCCAGGGGCATTTTACTTTGGGGTGTCCTACTTTGATCTTTACTCGGCCGGTTTGTACAACAGAACCAAGCTGTTGGGCAGCAGGCTCACACACGGGATCGGACGTGCCATTGACATCGAGCAATAAATCTAGGGATGCATTGTAAATGTCTCGACGAATAGCTAGGAATGATAGCAAATTCACCGAAATGAGCACCCATACCCTCTGATGACGATTCCGTGACATCCATGACATAGGATACCGGGAAGCCCTCAGAATATATGCTATGCTGTTGCGTTACATTGTTGGCAAAATCATGGGTGCCGTTGAGCAATAAGCCTGTATATGGTAAGTAAAGGAAAGTTTGTGTATACAGCAACTTACTTTCTGTACCCTCTTGCACCGAACGCGTGACCCTGTACAATACTTCATGGGCTGCAGGTTGTAGCATGAGGTACAGGTCATACCAGGATATAGATGGTTGAATAGCATTGAGGCTATTGAGTCCAGCTTGGGAGTTGATGATTCTATCACGTCCACCCAAATGCTTAACTGTGATAGGAGAACTGTGAGCGCCGTGGGGTAATAAGTCTATACATGGTAAGCATTTGAAGGAAAGACTGCGTCTAAAGTAACTTACCTGTTGTACGCGCTGACAACGATCTGATGACCCCGGATGATGTTCCATGGAATGCTGCAGGCTGTAGCATGATTTGGCCATCATGTGAAGATCCAAGCGATGTAGTGGCATTGGCATTATTGACTCCAGCTTGAGAGTCGACGGTGCTATCACATCCACCCAAATGCTCCATTGTGAAATATGACTGATAGCTGCAAATGGGATTCTTGATGCAGCGGATCTCCTGCATTGCCTCACGCACGCCATGGTCCAACATGTCAAGGCGGCGGCCTAACATGTCAATGCGCTGGTCTGCTGTCTCAAGGTGGAGGATGCACTCGAGAATTGACTGGAGTGTTAGAAGATGCTGGTCAGGTGGATTCTGTAGTGTTGATGTGCGTGAATCCATGTCTTTGTTTATGATGCAGCCTAATGTATAGGCAAGTGCAAATGGGGGGAGAATACTTGCGGCAGTTGGAAAATTGAACGGCTTTTTATGTTCATTCTACTGGCCCGTCTGGCAGGTGCAAACTGGCCTGTGGCTCATGGCAAGTTTTTGCATACCGCACTTTGGTTGGTCAACAGAATGTTAACACAGTGGATCATTGATGTCATCCTCCGCTTATTACATTGAACCTGAGATTAGCGCGCTGACTTTACCCGATGGGCTTAAGTCCGTATAATAGCACTGCCCGCAAACACAGTCACTTCCGAATCACTTGGCCTGGGGGTTCCAATCCATCATGCACAAAAATGAATGATTGACTTCAAGTCTGGTTTGTAACGTTGTAGCTCGAACAGAACATTTCAATTATGTGTATTATGGCTGTGAAATTTGACTGACCTCTGTATAATTCATGTCATTTGCAAGAAACAGATTGGATGCGTGTAGTACTTCTGCAGCTCGAAACACGTTCCTAACACAGGTAGGGGTTGGCATATAGCTTGGGGTATGATAACCGAATCACGGATCACAAGCAGGTCCTTCAATGTATATCACATCTTGGTCATCAACGATAGGAGGTCGCTATGATGACTGAACCAAAAATTGCTTTAGCTACAATTGTCCGGGTATATTTAGGCTTGGCACCCCATGGGACAAGAATGGCCACAACCACTTAGTAATGATCAAATACTGCGAATGTTAAGTACAGTATGCTGATAAAACCTGATGGTATATGTACGATACATCCAAATGAACTTCAAAATATAGTTTTGGTAAGCTGGGCAAATCTTCGGTATCTGGAAGCTCGAAAAGCTCAGGACCAGCCCTTTGTACTCCCAATGTAAGAGGTCCCAGCTAGATCGGAACATGTAGTCAAGAGCCCATGGTCCACTACAAGAGCTCTTTCGTCACTAGGGCTGGCCACCATAACCTTACGCCTCTGACAATACATATCAAATGAGATTGATACCCAAATCTTCGACAATGATCATCGCAGCCCGCTCTCCGATGAGAAGTGCGGTCGAGCATCAGTAAACTATTGATTTCGTGACAATTCCCACACTTTCGACAACTTCACACAAGGTATCACAAGTTGTCACAAGTCTCACAGACAACACAAACAAATGACTACAAGTCTGCCACAAGCGCACAGTAGCACAAGTGGACAAATAGCACACAAGCATACAAACAACACAAACTGTTACACACTGTAACATGCAAAAAGGATATAGTACCAGTATATACTACTAGCAGTGATTTTATATACATATATGCGCAGTGAGAGAACCGACTATTTACTAGTATACTGCACGGTCTAATAGATTATTAATTGAGAACAGTAGTAGTAACTATGAAAGAAAAACGCACTCACTGCTCATGTCACGCTTGAAGAGTAGCATACATTGTGATGCCGTTTTCCTCCAGTGCTCTGAGTGCATGCGTCCGACATTGAGGTCGGCCAATAATAGACGCGTATTCGCAGCTTCTGCCCGTCGGCGGCAGATATGGGTGAGTACTTGGTGTTGTTTCAAAAGGCAGTCAGCCAGGTGCTTTTGAGCTTGACACACTTTGCGTTTGACCTGGGCTGCCTCGAGTGCGAGGTCAGAGTTATCTTCTTCCAGTTGATTGAACAAGTAGTAGGGCTCGGCTGAGTCTTGTTCCTGCAGATAGCAGATATGAGTAACAAAGCAACACATTAGTATTGCGACTCACAAAATGCATTGCTAGTACAGGTAAGTTCTCTTCTTCTTCTGCCTCCTCCTTAACAGGGTACGATCGTGACGGAGAATGCAAAAGGTGTGGATACCTGGAATCACCCCAGGGTGACATGCCTCGAGTTGAAGAGGCATCAGAATCGTGGGAGTCAGAAGAAGAATAGCAGGAATGGTGAGAGGAAGGAGAATAGGTGTTTTGGGGAGAGGTGCGAGAAACATTTTTAGTATCAGGGAACATATGGATGCACAGGTAGTAGCGATATATAATATTATGATCGTACGGCTAGACTTTGCAAAAGCAGCGTGGGAACTTGCACATATCAATCAATATGTCAATACCTACATGCCCGAAGTGCAGAAAAGTATTCACCAGGGACTCCAGTGTCACTCGCCATCTAAGCCAGCCTCGGACATCTTGTCACAGTTCTGTTCATGACATTGTTGACATCTTGGAGTTTGCAGATGTAGCTCCACCGCAACGATCCCTCGATCCACCTCAAACTAGTATGGGTCAGAGTCTTAATGTCAGTGATGACTCGCAATTCAATACTCTGGACGCCATGGATACCAACTTAGATGGAGAATTTCTCGATACAGTGGGAGACCTACCTCCGAGTAATGAGGAATGGTATGAGGGTGCAGCTAAGTGCTATTCTCAGGACGGTCTCACATTTCTGGATCTTTTTGACGCCGATGAGCATGCAGAATACAGGAAGGAGAACCTGTTTTTACCCATTCACATCGAGGGAAGAGTGGGAGGTCGCTGACTTCCTCCTGCATTCTGCCCTTAGCATGGCAGCAATCGACAAATTTTTGCAGCTCTCCATGGTACGTATCCTTTTTTTTTCCTTTCACATTTCGATCGTGACATTACCTCACAGATAAAACGATTGAAGCTGTCCTTTAACAATGCTAAAGATTTGCGAGGTCAGGCTGAAATGCTGCCAAAGGGACCAAGCTGGAAATGCCAAGTCATTCCCTCACTTCATGGCACGAAAAGTCCAATTCGACTATTCTGGAGGGATCCGGTTGAGTGTTTGGAGAGTCTCTTCAGTAACCCCCTCTTTCACGACCAACTTGACTTCGTCCCTCATCGTGTTTACAAGACTGCAGCACGGCTCCTACATGTATATTCAGAATGGTTGACAGGTGACGCTGTTTGGAGCATCCAGGTACATGTTACGATGAACTCGCAATGTGCCTTATCTCACAAAACTGTAGGATCAACTGCCCCAAGGCGCAACAGTCCTTGGCACTGTGCTTTCATCCGACAAAACCAATATCACGACGATGACAGGTGCTAGGGTCGCACACCCACTTTTGCTAGGCCTTGCTAATATTTGTATGTGCACTCGCACGAAGCTCTCGTCCAAGGCGTTTATGCTCACGGCTCTCCTTCCCATCCCACAATACTTACACCCCAATCAATGAATGTGGGGTATGCTCAAAGATCGCCTCATCCACAAATGTCTTTCGATCGTTCTACAACCCCTGATGAAAGCCACCAAACTTGGAATCATGATGTCTGACCCAGTAGGAAACATCCGCCATTGGTTTACCCCCCTTGCAGCATACATTGTCGATACCCCTGAGGCATGTATGCTCGCATGTGTGCGTGGTAAAACTTCTCCATTTACACTGGCATCGTATCTGCAGTTCAGGGACAACTTTCGTCACCCTGCACGTACATGTGAAATTACTCTCGAGCAACTGGCCAGCATCGATGTTGATCCCAACGACCTGGAAGGCTTTTTGCTGCATGTGCAGAATTCCGGCTAAATGGTGTCTTTGCGCCTTTCTGGAAGGGCTGGCCGTTGAGTGATCCTGCAATATTTCTTACGCCGGAAGCTTTGCATCACTGGCATAAACAGTTTTACGACCATGACGTGCAATGGTGTCTTGCAGTTCTCGGAGCGCCAGAATTTGATTTCCGATTCTCAATATTGCAACCTATCACAGGTTATCGCCACTTCCACAACGGAATATCCAAACTGAAGCAGGTCACAGGCAGAGTCCATCATGATATACAGCGCTACATTGTTGGACTGATTGCTGGTGCAGCCCCCCGTTGATTCGTGATCGCAATTCGTGCTTTAATGGACGTCCGATATTTGGCGCAGTCTCCCGAACCTGACGACAACTTACTCGCATCTATTGACAGATCACTCGCACTATTTCATGATAATAAAGATGTTATCATGACACTAGGCGCTCGGATGGGTGCGAAGAGAGTGATTGACAATTGGCACATACCCAAGCTAGAGCTCATGCAGAGCATTACCACTAGCACATGCCAAGTTGGTGCCCTCATCCAGTGGTCTGCAGACGCAACTGAACATGCACACATCTCCGAAATCAAGGACCCAGCGCGACGTACTAACAACAACGATTACGATCCCCAGATCTGTCGTCACTTAGATCGAGAAGAGAAACTGCATCATTTTGCAGTTGCTACATCTCTCAAGAGCTCTCCCACAGATCCCGATCTCGAAGAACTCTGTGAGGATGAAGGAGATGAGGACAAGGACAAGGACAAGGACAAGGACAAGGACAAGGACAAGGACAAGGACAAGGACAAGGACAAGGACAAGGACAAGGACAAGGACAAGGAAGAAAATGGGGAGAATGATGAACCGATGGATCCGCGAACCGCACTCTTAGAGGAACTGAATCACACACGTACCACTTCCAACTACTTCAGCAAAATAAGAATGTCGGCTGCTACAAGGCATGGAATTCCTCAGGCTCACCCTCCTCGTACGTTCCTTGCTGGCAGCACTGCCATTCATCTTAATTGTAACCCCACCTACACTGGCTTGAAAATTGACGAGGTTGCTGATCAATTTAACATCCTGGATCTGCGGCACGCTCTCTCAGACTTCTTTCAACGTGATGCGAGGAATGGAGATGGAGTTTTTGGAGTGGGGGTTCCAAGAAGATCGCTGATCGACCACCCTCTGAATATTCCTTTCGAACGTGTTCAAGTATGGCATACTGTTCGCTTGCAGCAAGCTTGTCTTCACGATCCAAGTATTGTTTTACCTGCACAAACCATGCATGCATCTCCCGCACACCCTGGGTGGCCAAAAGGTCGACAAGATGTTGCCATTTTCAACGTCAATAGTGCGCATGATTGGCCTGAGTCAGGGTTAATGGGTGAGCTCTTTAGTAATTGTATATGTTTTGATTGCCACTGACACCTTTCCCCTCTTTTGAAGGTCACGCTGTCTGTGAACTGCAACTTATCATGCGCCCAATACCTCGACGAGGCTCACGTATTACATGGTGTGATCGATATCTTTGTTATGTGCGCAGCTTCAAGATTGGTGCGGTTGATCCTGTCACTGAAATGCACACATTGACATGCACAAAACATGTCAATGGTACTCTGGTGGGAGATATTGTTCCTCTAACACAAATTCGAGCATTCATCAGCATCATCCCGAAACTGGGTGCTGCAGCGGATCCTAGGTTGACTAAGTCTACTTCTGCACATTATCATTCCTCATTCTATTTGAATAAGTACTTTGATAAGCAAATTTATGATAGCCTGTACTATGCGTCGCAAGGATAGTTACTGTTTGCTCATTTTCTTTCTTAGTGATATCATAGTTGACATGTACCAGTGCTGAGAAACCCCGAAGTGTGATTGGTGAGGAACCAATGCCCACGCATTGCCAGCATTGCTTGCACCCTGTCCACTAGTAGAGGGAGCGCTTGCTTAATAACTATTCAGACAGACAGGTGAGTTGTTGTTGTAGAATGCACTGGTCTGCAGTATTCATCACTCCATACTAGTAGTAGTAGCATTGACTCAGACAAATCCAAAGCAAGACACCCGTTCAACCCGCTCGCTCGCTCCAATGTCACACCCCACCACATCGTTCGACCTTTATCTCTGCGGCCCTTCACTCAGCTCAACAGGCTTCCCGCCCGAGGGTGGTCGCACCTATGATCTCGTCAAAGACTTACTTAGATCAGAGCTCGAAGGCCACATCATCTTCGAGGCTGACCTGAACATCAAGGACAATGCTAGCCTTTTCCACCAACTCATTTCTGAATCTTCATTGAAGACCAGACATATCGAACAGATCAAATATTACGGTCGAACTAATGGACCACCGGTATATCTTCAGGGCGCATGGAACTTCAATCACAAAAAAAGGCCTAAACTCACCGATCAGAACAACGGCTCTGGGTCAGGTGACTCGGATGATGAATCTGGTACCAGCACAGATATTGTTGACACAGATGCTGAGGCCTTGGATTCTGAACGTTCAGGGATAATCTCCCAGGACACGGACAGCACCTGGAGTCGTGATGAATATGATGGCACTGCAGAACCAGGATCGAAGAGGGGACGTAAGCCCTCATCGACCGAGAAAGACTTGCAGTGCCTCTTCAAAGCCGTTCAGTACGCCCTGCGCCGTAATTCGAAAATTCGAGTCAAACTTCCCTTTCAAATATTGAACATCGAACGATACTGGTCTGCAGAGTTTGCTAACTCACCAATACCGGACCCTTACAACGCACAAAAGCCTGACATCACTTCATTCTATTACAAGAGTAAAGCTTGTGAGAAAACATGGACAGACATCCTGAGCTTTGTCGAGCATACGACCTCTGACTTCAGCAAGAGGCGTGACTTAGGAGTGTACTGGGGGTCTGCCACTAAATCATATCTCATCATGCGAGAACAGCCCTGGTGTCACTTCGTCCTCTCATTCTCTATCTGTGCAGAACAGCTTCGTGCCCATTATTGCGACTGCTCAGGCCTCATCATAACTCTTCCGACTCCCATCCAATCCTCACCCTCTCGTGTTGCTGATGCAATAGCTGCTCTCTCGTTAGGAGATCTGAGTCTCTTGGGTCTCGACCCCACAATCCATATGTGCATCCCTTCTTGCAAGGGTACTCACACCAACCTAGCAGCGGGGGCGATCGGTTGGGTAACTAACAATTCTAATAACAGGTACTTGATTATGGCTGTTCTGTGGAAGAGCCAGGGTTCATTTTGTCGTGGAACGGCTTGCTACCGCGTCCGGGATCCTGTAGATGGGAAGGAGTACGCAATGAAAGATTGTTGGGTCGCTGAGGTGAAGAGATACCACGAAGTGGATGTCCTTGAGAGGGTCAAGGGCATCCCTAATGTGGTCCAACTCATAGACCATTGGGATGTCCAATTCAATGGAAAGCCTGACTGCACAGCCCCCATTCGGGATGGATATGGTGCCCTACTTGGCGACAGGCCGGACAAGAGGTTCTGTAACAGGTATCACCGGCACCTTCTCTTGACTCCATGCGGAGATCTGTTATGGGATTTTAGCTCCAGAAAGGAGCTGATTTGCGCCTTTCGTGACTTCGTGGTTGGTGAGTTCAGTTTCATGCGCTTGGTTTGTTGTATCATCTCACATTTTATCTATAGCTCATGAAGCAATGATCCAACAAAGAGTTCTACACGGAGACCTTAGCCCAAACAACTTTGTAATTTCTGAAGGCATCGGTTATTTCATTGATTTTGATCACGCGTCAATCATAAAGGAGGGCGAGACATTCACAGTTTCATTTGGTACTGTAAGTTTGAACGTGAAGTTCATTGTTCTCACTGTTGATTGCTGAACTCAACATTTCAGGGAACTGTACCATATATTTCTATGTGCATCTTGAAAAAAATGTCCAAGAACGCTGACATCGTCAAGAAGTCAAAGACGACCATCAACGCAAAAAAGAGCAATAGCAACACCAACAGCATCACTCAGCTGGAACTGGTTGAGCACAACTCCAGTGATGACCTCAAGTCCCTTTTTTACATTTTTTTGGAATTCGTTTCCAAGTATGGCGGGGCACATGGTACACTCGCTCCAACTTGGGATAAGACGACTATGCCATGGGCAGATGCCTATGAAAATTTGGGTGCTACAAGCGGTTTGCTTGCCACCTTTTTGGCGAAGAAGGGAGCCATGTCCGAAGATGATATTCTGACGGACAGGGTATCAGAGTACTTCACAGAATTTAAGCCCATTATCAATGAATGGCGCACTCGAATTCATCGCATGGAGTCCAATCTCAAAGGAGCCATCATTCACGAGCACATTTTTCAAATGCTCACCAAATTCATCACGAAACTCAACAATGAAGAACCAAGCCCATTGCCCTCTCCACCCCTTCCAGTGGCTCCTCCAAGTGCCCCAAGTACTCATCATACCGGGGCTCCCCCCATCGTTCAACCCACAGCAGGGCCTTCCCTACATTGTTCATTACGCCTCAGTGCAGGCCGGACCTAACGATACTGGCATGAGCTCATGCAATTCTGATGCCTCTTCTTAGAATATCCTTCATCTGACCTCACTTCTACATCTTCCTATGTGTTTATCTTTCTTTCATGCTACCTTTAGTATGTACTCAGACGCAATTATGATTATGTAACATGGATTATGTCATGTTCATCAGTATAACTTAGAGCTACCTTCATACATATTCAGGTCGTCTGGTACCATGCCTCCAAGGAAGAAGCCCAGACATTCTTCTCCAGATCTAGAGGCGCCCGCTCGCCGAAGCTCAAGACTTAACCGTGGCATTGGTGGTCATGCAGCACAGCTGCAAAGAGTTGGAGAAACAGTTGCTGCCCCAACAAGGAAGGGACCGAAGGGTGACGACCTTCAAATCAGCAGCTCAGAAGAGAATCCTATGGCTCCTTCGCAGCTTCAGAAAGGAAAGAAAAAAAATGTAATGTGAATCTTCTAAAATTATGTTCAAGCTAATTTCTTCAGCCTCCTGCAAAACCTCGCAGCACTGCTAAGAAAACCCCGAATGAACGCAGAACGACAGAAAATAGCCAGCATTCTCAGGCTCCCACTTCCCATCCGAATCAATATGTGGCTCACTCTTCTGAAAGGTTCGGATTCAAGGAACCTCGGTCTAATGGTCGCAAAATGGCTGGAAGGAATGTGGGTCAGCAAGATGCAGGTCATGAGAGGGAGTCTACAGAACGTGATAGTGGTTGCAAAAAGGAGAGGCGGAATACGGAGGATTACAGGGAGTTTGTGCCAAGCTCTCATGAAGGTGATACTTCTGACGACAATGCTGACCGTGATGATGATCCTGACAGTAACACGCTGTAGAGACTCATGCCTCTCATTGTGCAATATGGCAGTTTTCACTGGGGAGTACATGGCACGAACTTGTAGCATCACTCTGTGTGCTACCTGCAGCTATCTCTATATGAGGCGCAGCTTTCCCGCGCAATGCGCGCCATGCGCGCGTACCTTTCCCGCGCTTCACGATGTATATGCGCGCGCGCTTTCCCGCGCTGTAGCGCCCTATAGCGCCAGCCATCCAGAAGCATCCATCCACTGTCCACCAAGTTCCCTAGTGCGTATATTTCCATTTCTCACATTTGCATATCGTTCCATCTTTATTTTTATCATGGACCCTTACTTACATATATCTTTACATACCTTACTCGGTAGCGCTTCGGCTCCGCATGACAGCGCTTAGGCGCCATACTTAAGCGCCAGCAGTACATACTTACTGACTGACTTACTCTCCCACCAGAACGACAGAGGACTTACTGGTTACTACCCACTATTCACCTAGCAGAACATAGTAGAAATCTATTTGTTTACACCTCGCATCTCCCTTCTCTTGTCTTACATCATATCATCACTTAAGCAAACTCACTCTTACTCTCTCTCGTATCTGTATACACGCGCACGCTTTCCCACGCTTCGCGCCATACACGCGCGCATTCCCGCGCCTTGCGCGCACCTGCACTTTCTCGCGCTTCGCATTGGCCAACCAGTAGTGTTACGGTATATTCATTCTCTTCGTTTCTCTTTCGATACTGGACAATGGTACATGCACACGGCTCTTAACGAACGACCAATCACCTTCCAGAACCTCACTCATATCGTCGCCAAGCTAATGTTCCGTGCTAGTAACCATCACTAGTGTTTAGACCACTATCTCTTATCAAAGCGGGCTGTCCGCACCATGGTTACTATCTCTTATCTGTTATCTCTTATCACTTACCAAGCGGGCTGTCCGCCTTCTATCTTGATACGCACTTACGAGCTCCGCTTGAACTTACGCTATATAGTTACATAGCGTACCCCATGTATTTCCTCACTTTAATCTACTGGGTTTTACCTGGACAAGTCCTTTAGCAAGGTCTCCAACCTTGCTATCTAAGAACCACCATTCTAAGGAAGTCGCCGATACTTGCCTTAGCCTGAAACCTCCGACCTCTCACTCGAGAGAAGAACTACGTCTGTCTCGCCGATACTCAGTCCACTCAGACTAAGACAGCTCGACATACCCCAGTCGTAACAAAAGATTAAAGTCCTTTTCTTAGACGCCGCCACCTGCGACGTCAGCAAGACACCACGACTTCGTTAACTCCTTTGATCGGAGCTTTGAACTTAGGCGCGCTACCGCCAATACCACCATTAAATACAATGGCGGCCACCACTAAAGAATTTGAAATCAAGATCGGTACTCCCCCCGAATTCGACGGAGACCGCGATGAATCGCACAGGTTCATGCTGAACTGTAATGCGTATTTAGATATCAATGAGAAAATCTACGACAACGACAAGAAGAAAGTAATTTTCGCACTTTCGTTTATGACCAAGGGCAATGCAGCCGCTTGGAAAGAAGACTTCATGGAGACCGCTCAGAACGCCAAGCTGAAGAATACCGCAGGAAATCTCATCGGATACGGTAGCTGGGATGAGTTCAAGGTCTCATTTAAAGAAGCCTTCGGAGCTATTGACCCGAAGGGAACAGCCATGGCTAAAGTACGAGCCCTCGAGATGAAAGGAGACCTCCACACGTATATCTCCAACTACCGCCTCCTAGCCCATAAAGCAGGAATAACCGAGAACGTCACCAGAGTAGAGTTCTTCCGCGAAGGTCTTGACGTAGGACTTCGCAACAACCTCTACCATACTGGAGAAAGTCTAGATGACTTTGAAACCGTCGTCGCAACGTGTATCAACCTGGATAACGCTTTCCAACGGTTGAGAGCCATTCAGAAACGAGAGAATCCTACGCACTACCAGCCTAGGAAGAAGAAGTACGGAGATCGTCACTTCACCCCCCGCAGAAGCGATGCTATGGAGATAGACCAACTCTCCGAGTCTGAAGTAAAAAGACATCTCAAAGAAGGACGCTGCTTCAAGTGTCACCAAACGGGCCATCGCGCCAACGATACCACATTCCACCCTAGGGAAGAGAAGAAACAAAAAATGCCTATTCGAAGGAAAGTCGAGAAAGAAGAAAGCAGTGATGATGATGAAGAGGTAAACCGACGATTCGTGGAGATGGATTTTTAGGAAAGGAGTCTGCATCGATGTCAGTACCTCCTGTCCCAATACGACTTGTACAATCACTTGGAAATAAAAAGGAGCTTCGTGTCCCGGCTACTATTATTTCCACCAAGCGTAACAAAACCATCGAAACCTCAATGGTCATTGACTCCGGAGCAAGCGGAACCTTCATCAGCGAAGAATTCTGCAAACTCCACGGAATCAAGACCCACAAACTCTCGAAACCATTCCCCGTAATAACTGCAGATGGATCTGATGCAAGAGGAGGGCTCATCTCTCGTTACTGTGTCCTTATTGTCAAGATTGACGGGAGAACCATGATAGGAAAATTCAACATAACCAAATTATCAAAGAAGGATAAAATCCTGCTCGGATTCCCATGGTTAAAAGCACTGAACCCGTCAATCAACTGGACAAACAAGGAACTATCTCTTGTGCCGAACGAACGATCACTCGAAATCGAAAAGAAGATCGACCATCTTAGGAAACAACGTAATCTACCACTACTGTTTCCTCATCTCGTTCTCGCAGAGAAAGAATCATCCCGTGAATGGAAGAATTCCAAACTAAAGAAAAACCCCGTTTACCCACAAGCTTCTGCAGAAGAAATCGTCGACGAAGAGCTTCCTCACCTCGCACCAGATCAAGACGAACCGGATTACGACACTAAGGAAGACGTATGGTCAGAAAACTATGCTCCTCCAGTGGTCGATCCTTCTCTCTATCCCCTAAACGACGAAGACGTCCTGATCGAATATTCCCCTGACGGTTCTCAAGTTAGAGTAATCTCCGACGTCTCTTTTGATACTCCTCTCACCAGAGACGGTACGTCAAAACAAGAGCAAGGATATTCGAAAACTAGCAACAAAGCTCAAGAGTTCGCTGTCGCTGGAGAGAAAGAAAAAATGAAGAAGAGCTTCGAAGAACTCGTTCCATCTTACCTGCACACCTACGCTGATATTTTTGCAAAGGACGGTCTTAATAAATTGCCGCCGGAACGACCTGGTATCGATCACCGAATTGATCTGAAGCCGGGATTCATGCCCAGGACGTCCAAGATCTACCCATTATCAGGAAAAGAAAGAGAAGCAGTAAAGACCTTTATCACAGAAAACACCGCGAAAGGATTCATTGTACCCTCAAAGTCTCCGCAAGCCAGTGGATTTTTCTTCGTAGGAAAGAAAAGCGGAGAGTTGCGCCCTTGCCAAGATTATCGTTACCTCAATGACTGGACCATACGCAACCAATACCCGCTCCCGCTCCCTAAAACTCTCATAGAACGACTCTACAAGGCAAAACATTTCACAAAGATTGACATACGGTCAGGCTATAATAATATCAGGATCCACCCTGACGATAGATGGAAAGCGGCTTTCACTACCGAAGAAGGACTGTTTGAACCCACTGTAATGTTCTTTGGCTTAACCAATTCCCCCGCTACCTTCCAGTCCTACATGAACAACCGCTTCCAGAAAGAAATCAATGAGGGATGGATCGTTATTTACATGGACGACTTGCTCATCTTTTCCTCCGACCTCGCAGAGCACCGTGAGCGAACGAAACGAGTATTGGAGATACTCCGTCACGAACAACTGTTCGTCAAACCAGAGAAATGCACTTTTGATGCAACAGAAGTGGAATACCTAGGGATGATTATTCGTCCTGGAGAAGTTGCTATGGAGCACGCCAAAGTTGATGGAATAAAGGACTGGCCTACCCCGACATCCGTAAGGGACGTCCGCTCTTTTCTCGGGTTTTGCAACTTCTACAGGGCGTTTGTATCCCACTACTCTGATATCGCCCGTCCGCTTATCAATCTCACTCGGAAGGACCAAGTGTTTGCCTGGACGCCTGACGCTCAGACCTCGTTCGATAAACTCAAACAGTGTTTCATGACGAAACCAGTATTACGGAACCCTGATCCTACCCGCCAGTTTGCCCTTGCCACGGATGCCTCCTTGGTAGCAACAGGGGCTGTACTCCTCCAGACGGATGAAAATGGCGTCTATCACCCCTGTGAAAACATCTCCCAATCCTTCAACCCCGCCGAACGAAACTACGAAATCTTCGATCGCGAGCTGCTCGCTATTATCCGCGCTCTCAAAGAATGGCGTCACTATCTAGAAGGAAATCCCCATCCCATTCTCGTCTTCACCGACCACCTGAACCTCCTCTACTTTTCGAAGGCACAGAAACTCTCGCGCAGACAAGCACGGTGGCAGCTTGTTCTGTCTAATTATGATCTCGAACTGCATCACGTCCCCGGTACGAAACTCGCAGCACCTGACGCACTCTCTCGACGCCCAGATCACGGTCTTGGTGAACACGACAATGAGGATCGTGTACTCCTCCCAGACTCTATGTTCATACGGTTGCTCGACGATGAACTCTCTACCGCCCTCGCCCAGAATTCCTTAGATGACCCCATTTTCACCATCGCCAACGACGCTCTAGATGGGCTTTGCCTGCCCCCCATGAAGTCGGCCCTCTCTGACTGGAAAATCTCGGACGGGGTGCTCTATTATAAGTCCCGCGCTTATGTCCCGCCTTCAAACCGGCTGGCCATCTTATCCCGTCATCATGATCATCCCACAGCCGGCCACCCCGGACGGTTTAAGACCGAGGAACTCGTCAAGCGTGACTACTGGTGGCCTGCCATGGGCACTTTTATCCGCTCCTATGTCGCGGGCTGCGCTCTCTGTCAGCAGATGAAGACGGATACTCACCCCGTTTCGCCACCCCTTGTCCCCATTCCCTCCTCTGCCACCCGCCCCTTCTCTCAGGTCTCTGTGGACCTTGTCACCGACCTCCCTGTGTCCAACGGTTTTGACTCTCTCATGGTCGTGGTAGACCATGGCCTTACGAAGGGGGTGATTATTTCTCCCTGTAACAAAAACATCTCTTCTGAAGGAGTGGCTAAACTATTCTTTAAAAACGTATTCAGACGCTTTGGACTCCACGAGAAAGTGATTTCTGACCGAGGCCCTCAGTTCGTTTCGAAGTTCTCTAGAGAATTAGCACGCCTCCTCGGATATCAGATCGCTGCCTCCACAGCGTATCACCCTCAGACCGACGGTCAGACCGAACGACTCAATCAAGAGATAGAGACGTACCTCCGGATATACTGCAGAAGTAACCCCTATGAATGGTCGGACCACCTACCCCTCGCCGAATTTGTGCACAACCATCGAAGACACGAAGCAAGGAACGCATCTCCATTCTTCCTCATGATGGGATACGAGCCTCGCGGTATTCCCCACGTACTACCATCATCAGATACCCCTGCCGCAGAAGAAAGGGTTCGCACCCTTCAGAAGATCAGAGAAGAAGCCATCTCTTGCCACAATATCGCCATGCAACGAATGGCAGAAAGGACGCATGGAAAGAAGTATCAACCATGGAAGATAGGAGATAAAGTCTGGCTATCTGCGACCAACCTCATGACCACACTCCCATCTAGGAAGCTTGCGCCCAAACGACACGGGCCGTTCCCCATAACCGCGGTCTTATCACCAATCACGTTCACTCTTAGACTTCCCGAGCAATGGAAGGTTCACCCCACGTTCCATGCTTCCGAGCTATCTTCCTATCAGGAGACGGAAATACACGGACCGAACTACGAAGAACCACCTCCAGATATAGTCAACCAATCGGAGGAATACGAAGTCGAAGCAGTCCTGAGTCACAAGGGAACGGGTAAACGAAGACGCTATCTCGTATCCTGGAAAGGATACTCTTCTGGAAGTAACGAATGGATTCCAGCGGAGAATATGGAAAACGCCGAAGACCTACTTTCCGCCTATAAGAAGAGGCACAAGTTGAACTGAATCGATCAGTCCCCACTGTCATACCAAACAAAGAACATGTCTTACCCAACTACGTCTCCCACTGAGTCCAATGCCTCCTCCATCAGCCTCTGCGAATCCCCCTTCGCTGACAACGTTGTCAGCATCGAAGACGACGTTATCGTCGAAACCACTATCCTCTCCGTCGCCCACGCCCTCGAAATCGAAACCTACCTTAACAACCAGCCAGCAATACCAGCAGGAGTCGCTGCCACATATATCCATATCATTAGAGCCACCCAACGCCTCGAAGAAGAATTTGCCCAGATTGAAAACGACGCTCTCCGACTCTCCTGCAACCACGTTCAGCGGCGCATACGCTCGCTTACGCTTCAGCTATTCCCTCTTGGTTTTAGCACTATCTGCAGGGAAATTATACAGACTGTTGCTGATAGAAACTCCTTCCAAGTCGGCCGCCCGTTGCCTCCTATTACTCACAATCCCCCCGCTGTTCTACCTGATCCAACTTCGATTGGAGGGAACTTTGCACCGGTACCTGTACCTGTCCCAGCGCCCAGCGAGGTCCAAAGAAGGAACCTCCGTGGCGGATCCGCCATTCACGGCGTAACTAAGAAAAAGTCATCCAAAGGAAAGAAGCGCGAGGTCATCGACCTCACCGTAGAACCCCCTGCTATTCCATCCTCCAGCATCGTTATCAGAACCCCCTCATTAAAACAAATAGTCGGCACTATCGCCGACTCCAACTTCATCTGCCGACTCTGCAAGAAGCTCGGTCACAAGCACAAGAACTGCCCCCTGTACTACTGCCGCGTCTGCGGTGACACGAAACCTGGGCACTTTTCCATTTACTGCCCCTTCGCCACCACCAAGATACCATTCCCGTTGGTTTATACCGACGACGGCTTCTACGACGCGTTAGCCGCGTGGGAAGCGGAGAAAGATAAGAAAGAGGAAGAGGATCTTGCGCGCGCCGATAGGGAGTACTTGGCGCAGCCAGAAGAATTAGAATTCCACAATGCCGACGCCGACCCCATCTACTACGAGAACCAGGACAACTAGTGATGTCGATGCCGGTGACATCGACCATAACACGGGGGTAATGTTACGGTATATTCATTCTCTTCGTTTCTCTTTCGATACTGGACAATGGTACATGCACACGGCTCTTAACGAACGACCAATCACCTTCCAGAACCTCACTCATATCGTCGCCAAGCTAACGTTCCGTGCTAGTAACCATCACTAGTGTTTAGACCACTATCTCTTATCAAAGCGGGCTGTCCGCACCATGGTTACTATCTCTTATCTGTTATCTCTTATCACTTACCAAGCGGGCTGTCCGCCTTCTATCTTGATACGCACTTACGAGCTCCGCTTGAACTTACGCTATATAGTTACATAGCGTACCCCATGTATTTCCTCACTTTAATCTACTGGGTTTTACCTGGACAAGTCCTTTAGCAAGGTCTCCAACCTTGCTATCTAAGAACCACCATTCTAAGGAAGTCGCCGATACTTGCCTTAGCCTGAAACCTCCGACCTCTCACTCGAGAGAAGAACTACGTCTGTCTCGCCGATACTCAGTCCACTCGGACTAAGACAGCTCGACATACCCCAGTCGTAACAAGTAGCGCTTTCAGCGCATACCTCTAGATCCTTGCTGCACTCGCTTCCCCTTTAGGGTCGAACGCACTTGTCGTCTCAAGTATAGCAGACTAGGCAACGCATGACCTTACAACAATTATAGATACAGTCAGGAGCATTGTTCATGCCTCGCTGTATCGTTGAACCTTCAATGCCAATGTAAGTGTTCTTCGGTCTATCAATTGTGTTATTCCTGATATTATGTTCTCATTGCAGGAACAGATATGCCAGTCAGCACACGCACCAGCGAATGGACGATGCAGACAATGGAATGGATTTCAACAAAAATATGGATCGACCTCATCCTGACAATGAAGCTTGAGGAGGTGTTGAACCAGTAGCCTCGAATGACGAGCTCACAGACCCGGAGCAGGATGAAGTATCTACATTTTTTCTTCTCTACTCTTGCATTAATTATTTGTACTCAAGGCTTACGATGTTCTCAAGCGCCACCATGCAAAGAACGGGCAGCAAAAAGCTCCTTCACCAACCTATCTGTCAAAGGGGAAGGGAAAGGAATGGGCACGCACTTTTAAGCTGCCTGGAGGAACTTCTACTGTTCAAGCGGTTCGTAGACACTCACCTACACTTCACTCATGTCCCTCTCGTTCAAAGTCTCCACGTCGACAATCATCTCAGCAAGACAGATATGTACGCACTTCATCTTCATGTACGCAGTCTCCTCTTCGGCGCCCATCTCGACCAATCACTTCCTCAAGTCGCAGTCATACACAGCCCACATCTCGTAGGAGCTCTCCACCACGTTCTCCATCTGACCCTATTCTACCTTCAAGCCGTGAACGTTCTCGTACCTCTACACCTGAAGATGCTCATCAATCCAGCAACAGCAAACGAAAGGTCAAGACAAACCAAGAGGATCCCTCGAAGCTAGGATTTTATCCGCCCACTTGGCAAACATTCCTGCAGACGGCCAAGTTAGAGATGCGGTTGCAAGCTGTTCTAGCTACTCCAGTTCCGGAATCCCAGGAAGCCCTTAACCTTGCAAGAGAAGTCTTGCCCACTGTGCTATGGACATACCACGAGAAGAAGATTAAACTCGAGAGAGGTATGTTCTTCCTACTCCACCGTCTACCCTTCTCACCATTTGCAAGGCTACTTTCTGGAGTACAGCACACAGATGTGCCGGCTGGTACGTTCTTTGTTTATTGATGGCTCATGCACTCACTGATACCATGTCCATGAGCTTTGCAATGATCTCTTTACATTTCGCACAGAACTCAAGAAAATTGTCGTCTCTATTGCCAAAAGGGCATACAATATCTTCCCGCAGGGCTCCACAATGTGAAAGGAGGAATGTCAAAGGCAGGTCACTGCAGCCGCCACTAGGCTCCTCAAGAGTGGTGACTACCTCCGGCTCCCTGACTCATCTGGTGTAGGTTGCAATTCCTAGTCATAGCATCATTTAAAATTAATTTTTGCAGGGAAATTTCAAGAACTTCACAGTGCAGGCTCTCAAGGACGTTTGTCTCGAATTCTACTACAGCAACAGTAAGAAAGCATTAAAGAACACGGACGAATTCCACCAAACAATCCCCATTAATGCAATGCTTCTTGTAGCAGCGGTGGTATGCTTACAATTCTTTATTTTTTCATCGCTGATAGTTCGACAGTTGAAGGGCGTTATCTCTGGCTTTCGTGAGACTGGCACCGACAAGGTTCCTGAATTAACCACTGAGCAATGTAGGGCCCACTTCGTCAACTTACAGAAATCGATTGACACCCTGCTCGACATTCCGGAGCGTCGCGAAGAGCTTGAAGACATGTTGGAGCAATGGGCTAGGATTGGCATGGGGGATTTCAATGAGTATGCAGATGGGAGTGCGAGTGACGCAGAGGACGTTAATATCATACTTTAGTAGTTAGTGATGTGCACGGCCCGGCTTCAGGCTGTGGGCCGGCCAAAGCCGAGCCGGGCCCAAGTCAGGGCCTGACCACGGCCCAGGGCCTGGCTTGAGGTGTTGAAAAGCCTGAGCCGGCGGCTCAGGCTGCGGCTTTTTGTCCCTCATAGATATCGATTTTACAGACCTCCACAGACTCAATGACATCTTGATTTGACGTGTACTGCCACTCATCCACCCCAACCCAGAGTTGTGCGCCCACCAATCGTGAGCAACCTCACTTTTTCTCATATGTCTCGTTAGACCTTTAACCATGGTTTTCAGGTCTTGATTCTTGCAATCCTCGCCATGCGCATGCACCACCATCTCTGGCAGGTGAATCAACATCCACACGACACCGCTGGCGCCATCATTTCCGTTCAAGAGCCTTGAGCTTGTCACCAACAAGGTCCGTTTTGGCAGAGGACTTAGAGAACGCCGAGAATCTTCATGCACTGTGCAGTCTCATGCAAACCACACATAGATGCATTACATCCCGCTTGGAGAGACGCTCGAGTATTATTCCAGCTTCGCAAATCTGATCACATCCTCATGCCCATGTCCATTGTTCTCGAGCGTGAAAACGAGGAGCGTCGCCAGTTGGAGCGGGAGTTGTCTTTGATGGCACTATCGAGTCCAGTTGCTTCTTCCGCATCAACTTACACATCATCTTCAGCATCCATGTATTCGTCATCTTCAGCATCCATGTACTCGTCATCTTCAGCATCCACTTACACGTTGTCTTCAGGATCAACACGTCCTTCATCAGTGCCGTCTATTGCATCGGAGATACTGACTGCCAACTCGCTGCCACCTCTAAGCTGGGATAGTACAAGCAACCAAGATGAATCAGGATATCACTCCCCATCTCATGATCATCGATCCCGCCGCGACACAGCATTGTCCTCACTCTCTGAGTATAGTCGATATTTAAATAATCTGACATCTCAGCGAGAAGATCGGATCAAGTCCCCTAGAGCACCATCCCGACACTGCCATGTTCTCAATGCCCACTTACCCTTCGCGAGATCTCCTCATCTTCTTCCCTCCTCCTACTCACGTCTGTCGTCTGCACTCGTTTGAGCCATGTCAGCAGTTGCTGACGTGCACTGGGCGTTTGCGCATGGTGTTCGTGGTATTGGGAATGGCGTGGTGGATGGCATTGGTATGCGCGTGTCGTTGATTGCTCACCGTTACAAATATGCTTAGATTGAATTTTAGATCATTTTGTTCTTGAAAGCCGTCATTGAGCCCAAGCCAAGCCGCGGCTTTGGCCTGGCTTGGGCTCACAGCTTGGCCTGAGCTTTTGCAAAGCCCAAGCCCCCCAAAGCCGGGCCTAAGCCGGGGCTTTCAGGCCGAGCCGGGCCCACACATCACTATTAGTAGTGCTCTGATCAATATGCCATGTTTTTTTTTTGTTAGACAATCATTACCACAGTTTGGATCATGTTTACTGTGTGAAACTGGAATTAAATGTATCCTTTGTATGGTCTGTATCATGTGTGCAGTTTGTCTGCATTGTAACAAGATGTACAGATTGTAGGGGTATGTGACAGTATTGTAAAGGGGGGACTTCCTTGTGTAATTGTAATGCTTGTACAATACTGTACAATCTTGTACACTATTGTACAGGCGCCCCCTAGTTTGCTGATGGAGTATGTGTTCTGTGTATGTTGTTAGATCGCACATCAACAATCCCCTGTCCAGTACTCACCGTGCCAACGTTCAGTGGCGAAATGGACATATCTGCAACCTTCAGGTTCGACACCCCGTATACATTTAGCCGAGTGTCGACAACTCCCTGACAGCACTCACCAATATCGCGGTGGAATCGATCAATCACCTCGTCATCTTTGGTAGTGTAAACAATGTCAGGCACATTCAAGTCCACTGGCCCGAAGGCTTCTCTGCAGGCTGCAGCGCTTCCCTCTGGGAAATCAGGATGGCCGGCGGTGACTTCACCTCGGTAGGAAGCCATGCATTAAAGAAGTTCGCGTGTCTTTTTGTTCCCGAAGTTAAGAGGAACAATATCGGATGGACTGGTCGGAGTGTCGTAGCGATGTGAAGTGCCTTCAAATGAAATGCGTCCACTCACTTATCTAGGAAGCCTGTAGTGAAGTCCATTCCTTCTTTTCCATCCTCCGTCACATTGATACGGACCACTGTTGAGAAGCACGTTGCAGGAAGTGAAGATGTGAGAAGCGTCACGTATCTGCATGCCACATACTTGCTTACACCCGGAGATCTGCATGAACCACTTCGTCGGAGTGGACTATGTGCCATATACTATCAGCTTATCTTAATGTAATGCGACATGGCATACGATATCGAAGACTAGCAGCTACTAGATCAGAAAGATGTTACGACACTAGTGAGTTGTGGTGCAGCTATATTATTGGGGAAGACTTACCAAACCGAGGTTGTGGGCTGCAGAGAGTTTTCATCAAGATATGTGCTCGATGATTCGTTGGGCATCCGTGGAGATACGATAGCTGGTACTGGGCCAAACCCGTAGGCAATCCTACATAAGGGAAGAATGTTATTATGGTGCAGTGCTTTCTACATGCGGAAGTCGTCCATCAACGTTGTCAACCTCTGCAAAAGTTTTCATATCATTATAGCGGGTGTTCCAAATCAACATATAGGCCCACCTTGCTAAAGATATCCTTGAAACGATCTTCACATATTTAACCGCCACCTTGAGATTTACCATCAGATGTCAATTTGATACGAAACTTATACCAACCTCCATAGTGTGATCTTTTCTGAGAACCTGCATTTCCATATGTCACCGAAACTGTCCTGGGCAATAGCATAAGTCAATTCCTCGACAACCTTCGTGGTAAGGTCGACCAGGCGTCTAAATTGTTACCATGTGAGTCACTAAAGTGGGAAGGGAAAGTATTTATTGCACTGGTAGCATAATGAAGTCGGATCTCTATAGGCACGTGGCAGTTTGGGTGACCACAAGAACAGGGATATTTGCAGGATTCCTGCCTTTGTGTCGACGTTCAAAAGCTGGCTGTAGAACCAAGGTGCTAGCATTCATGGGAGTTTACCACGACCACAGGAATATGCCGCTGTATCAACCCTTTTGGTCGTCCAACCAGCCATCTAATAGTACTACCATGTGCTATCCGCAGCTCTGCAATCGATCAGCATCTCATGCGAAGACAATTTTGATGGCATTGTCGGATCAGCTAGATTCCCCTTTTGTTCAGCTCTTGCTTCAGTCAGTGGTCCCATCACAGCCCATCTAGCAGGTGAGCATCACCCTGCTCGTGCAACCATCAAAGTGCACGTCCGCCTGGTCTCGCCAGTGCCAGGAACTGTAGATCTCGATACGAGAGATCGTAGAACGCTCGTATCTTCTCTCATAACATCCTCGCACTTTCATTCAGGTCATCGTTTGAACCCTAACGAATCCGACCCCCAGTTATGTCCTTCTCGGAACTGTCCAGCATTGCTGGATAACGCTCCATTAATGCAGGAGGCGTCTGGGTACACTGGCTTGATGCCTGTAGATATTGCAAGGAATCTGTGTGTCATGCTGGAAGGAAAAAGGACCCAGGGCGATGCTAAGGACACAAACACTAAGACGTGAAAATACGCACTTGAAGCATGATACCTCTTGAGTACTAGGAAAGCCCACAAAATTATTTGATTCGTCGGAAACTTGAAAAAGCTCTCGTCCGATCCATCTCACCATCCCTCCTATGGAAGAAAAGAAACAAGACTCGCTAGAAAACTCCGATAGTAGAACTTCCATCCCGAAGTCAGCCACACATGCCAGTGCTCGTCCAAGTGAGTGATCCATACCCGGAAATATAACGCCATGGTCATGCAGGGTCATAAAAGCTTGAATTGGTGCGAGAAAAGTCGATGCGTACGATAAAGAACTGCAGAAATGATTGTCTAGTCCCGTGAAACGGGGTCAGCAATTGTAACAGGTGTAATGGCCACTTACCGGTGCTCATCATCACTTTCGGGTCGACGCAGTGATTTGCTCCAAGTAATGCGTCCGAGTGCCATTTACTGTCTTCTGCATATGTTTAGCAACCCTCGCTCAAACTACTACGCAAGCACACACCTCGTATCAGCGCCACATCTCGTGCCTTTGTGCATGCACCCCGCCCAAAAACAGCTGCCAGACCAGCTCTCACAGCTTCGCATCCTGCCTCTGGGACCTGTAAGCCATATATGGGTGGATGCTTGATTGGGTCATGGTGCGTGTATTGTGTTTTATGGTGCTAATAGAGACTGCAGCTGTGAAAAGCAATTGTAAGGATGTCGTACACACAGCGCGGATCTCATGAGTGAGAGAAAACAGGGTATAGGGTCTAACACTACAAAATGCATCACAATCCTCACCTGATCCAGTACCGCTGCCGCCAGCTTCATCGTTTGTATGGTGTTCAGAATCCTGATGAGGAGCAGCTTAACATGGCTAGATGGATATTGAGAGAGAGGTACGATACATTTTATTGGTAACATGTACACCTGCAACTAAGTTCGGTGTGAGTGTAGTTAGCAAACACTTGGCATTGTTTTATGATGGAGCGACATACCTTCAAGTTCACGTCTGGATCGCTTTTTATGACTTTCGTAATGTGAGTGAGAGGGAGTGGAGGATTCCTGTAACCTGGTGTCTCCTTCTCTGCTGGACGATCCACTTGCTGCCGCCAAAATGAACGAAGGGAATCATTGAGAAGCTCCGAATCCCGAACTACACGTATGGGGCGACATTAAAGAGTAGGTGGGAAGATCTGATATTAGCGGGTCAAAGCGGCGAAGGTTCGAAGGCAGGACTCTGTAATTAAGGGGGGGATGGCCACACTGATCATCCCGGTCATGCCATTCCTATTGCAATATGAATTCCATTACGTTGAATGACCTCGAGTGTGGTCGCAAAAGTAGGAATCTCGCAACGACTAGCCAGAGGCATTTTTGGCATTGCCCATTCCAGATTAGTTGGAAGTGAATCAAAAGTCACGCACATTAAGCCACGCTTCTCTTCCATTGAAAGATCTGTTATATGATCACCGGATGACTTTCAAACGTGTGCGCACTGCGCGGGACTCCGGGCAGAAACAGTGAATTCAGGTGTATCGTGGTGATTGAACCGGAACGATAAGATGGCAAACACAGGTCAATAACGTGCCACGCATGCTTCATTCCGATCTTTCGATTCAGCAGTACCCCGCAACGCGTCATAGTAAGTACCTCATTATCAATTTACTAGTAGGGATCTTTTGATCCCACGGAAGCAAGTGTCTATCCGCGGGGTGTTGCTCCAAATGCAACTTGAAACCGCGTGCTCGGCATGTGCAGTCCATATTGGTGTGTTTCTACTCTTCAGGTGTTTTGTCCGACGAACTGGGAAATGAATACATGCGTGGCGATTGATTCAAATACTGTACCTCGGAACACTAACGAAATGATAAATTTTACTTAAAAGGCATCACACTGGGGAAGAAGAGCTGATTCTACTTGAATGCAGCGAAGGCGCAAGTAGACATACCCTTCACTTTTTTCTTGTCTTGAGTCATCATTGCAATGTCGAGTCCTGCTCACACACAACCACCTAGTGTGAGTGTTGTCCAACTTTTGCTTAGCTGGGATTAACTTGAAATCAGTCCAACCATACTGAAATTGAAGAGCCTCCACACCACATAGTAGACACGCTCGGCATCGTCATTTGTGGAGAAAGCGGATCTGGCAAAAGTTCATTGGTCAATTTGATCGCTGGGACGAACATTGCGAAGACATCCCCCGATGCTGTGGGATGTACGACTGGAACAAATGTGTACGACTCGGACAATTTGATAAATTCCCAGTACGAGACGTTGAAGGTAAAGCTTATCGATACAGCTGGTCGGTCCAGTTCACCCCTCTTCGTGGCTATTACTGAATTGAATTGCAGGTCTGGATGAGGGCACTGAAGGGACTGTCTCAGACAAGGAAGCTCGAAACATTTTGAAGAAGCTTCTTCGAACTCTGACGGAGCAAGGCAACGCTCAACTCATCATATACCGTGTGCGGGGTGGGAAGAAGATTTAGACACTCCGCCGGAACTACGAGTTAATCCGCTCCCAAGTCAAGAGCAAAGTTCCAATTGTCCTTGTCGTCACATGTTTGGAAGTTTATCGGCCAGAGATGGAAGACTGGTGGAAGGTTAATGAAAACACCATCTCAGACCTCGGGATGATCTTCGCTGGCCACGCGTTTATCACCACGGTGGAAACGACAGAACCTATGTTTGTGGAGCGCCGCAGCCAGTCATACGATGCTGTCTGGAACCTCATCGAGCAGTATCGCCCATCGAATAACACGACCGTTCACACTGGATTGTTGCAAGGCACTATTCATGGGGTCACAATGTATGTTATTTCCACACTTTGTATATCAAATTTTCCTCACATTGGTAAGTAGGACCCAGCATGACAGTTGGGGGTGGTACAGGCGGGTGTTAGCTACCATTTGCTTGGCTTAGTCACTAGGGCCTTCGGCACATCATCATCCCGACTAGGCCGACGGTGATGATAAGGAGTCTTTTCCGGAGTCTGCGTCCATTCTTATCCAGATATGTTTGAATTTTTTCGATATAGTATCGCCCGTCCAATTTGAGCAGTAATCAAATGCGTGATTATACAGTACATAGCAGCTTTCAGGATCGTTGAGCGCTTGGACCTCAATGAATCGTAGAACCATTATCTGTACCTGTGCACCCCCCACTCATCCATTCTCTACAATGCAGAATTTTGTCATTGAATTCATCAACAAATACTAGGTTTCATAGCGAGAAAAGCACGCTTGAGGCAAGCGCAGGCATCGACTAGTGTGTGCGACGGGAAAAGAAAAGTAAGCGCTTTGTCAATATTCTAGAAGAGGTTCTGTCGCCGTCGCTACCTGTTGTGTCTGCTCCGCTGATATCGATAGTGGCCACCACTTGTCTAAAATCTCCTAGATACCGAGATTGGCATCTTGAATTCCAAGTGGACACAATTGTCACCGAGCAAGAGCGTGCATCAGCGTTGCGCAGCACGCCGGGGTGGACACGAACCGCATGCTAAATATATATGTTAGAGTTAAGTTCCTAATAATGTATACAGGTTGCTTCCCTCGACTCCTTTAGGATGCTACTTTGTATCATCATACCTTTTTCTGGATTCCGACTATGTTCCCGGCTTCCTTCGGGATACTTCCTTGTATCACTACATGGACTCGTACCTATTTTCAGGAAGGACCTTGGACGAGGCTGATTTCAGTATGGTAGCTTATTGAAGAAAAGTGATCTGGGACTTTGAGAATGGCAGGACGTACAGCGCCAGATGACATCCCGGGTAGGTGAAACAGTGCCACTGGCGGGCATTTTGAGGGGGTCTATCTGAAACACCAGGTAATGTATCATCGGGTCATCCAGATGCCAGTTGCCTGAGTCCGAATCTTGGCAGTATCACCGTATCATTGTATCTAACGCTAATCTCACTTGTCAAAAAGAAGTTTGATGCTTACCTTACGGGTACTGCAACGTGCAGATATTCAGTAATATCACTGCTAAATGCAGCTAGTCCTCTAGGAAAGTACCCAATATAGCGAGTGAAATACTTACAACTGTCTATTGGCTGTGTACTGTATCTGCTGACATGCTATCGCAGTGCATCCACCTTCTACCCTTCGAGACCACTCACTAGAGGTGAGCTGCATACATATCTCTGCGGGCACCACGGTACTGGTGAGTGGGTCAGAGAAAGCCTCAGTGCGGATATCATTAATATGGAGCTTGGAGCCTTGGAGCCTTGGAGCCTTGGAGCCTTGGAGCCTTGGACGCTGTGGAACTCGTCGTGGTTGGTCCCACCAAAGTGTAGAAGAGACTCGAATAGCTTTCCCACGAAACAGCTGTCGCTTGTATTCTCACGGTTCGCACTTGCAAATGCATGTAGGCAATGTTTTTATATTTACATGAAATCTAGTTTTGAGTCCTGACTCTACCCCAGTGATGCATCAGGCTTTACTTGTTCCCAAAGTCCTCCTGGAGATATTTGCCTATGTGAATATAATACCATCTACTGAGACAACATCGACCCAGGAATTGCTTGCAGTGCTTGCAAGGACATGCAAAATCTTCCACGAGCCTGCGATGGATTTACTGTGGGCTGAAATCGATGGGTTAGAACCACTGCTGGGCTGTGTAGCGAGGTTACATCCACTGATATATCATAGTGATACAATGGTCAGTGCACGACTTCATTACGCTTTGTTCATTTCTTTTCGACTCACTGAGCGTCTACATAATAGTGGGACGAACCCTGGGCGAAAGGTGTCAAACCATTATCTGCCCATGAGGCCTGTCAATTTCTGCGTCACTCCTCTCGTATACGCACATTGGACATACGATCTGATCATCCGCACCTTCTCTCTGTCATCCCCGCCGAGGCATGCATATTTCCGAGGCTGAAGTCATTAAGTCTTACCACCGTATATTTGAACCTCTTTCTGCCTCACATGCTGCACCGATGTCATCTATTGGGCGTCGATGGGGATCTGCAATCTTTTGTGACATGTTGCATTGCTCTGGAGCATTTATACATCTACACTCCCGAATGGCGCCAGGCTGACAGCACAGCAAATCAGATGTCATTGCTATCCGATAGGATTCATTGGTGCACGCGGCTTGTAACTCTTTCTTCTCCAATGCTCGACTGGGCAACATGGAAGCACCTCTCCCACCTCCCTACCCTTCGCAAATTGGAAATTGAACAAGCGTATAAAGAGTATCCTTCGCTGCCAAAACAAGATATCGTGAATTTATCATTCCTTAACATCACAAGGCTTTCCTTTCAAGAGCTCTACGATGCTGGAGACATCGTCACAGTCATGCAACACTCACAATTTCCCTCGCTGAAAGAGTTCGAGTTTGAAGCCAACTGTCTGTCTTCAGAAGAAGCCGAGCAACTCTTTCATGCTCTGTCCCACTGCAAAGCGTGTCGGACTCTAGAAGAAATCACCATCCATTGTCTTGAACACAAATTCGACGGAAGCCAATACGGCGAGTCTTTGACACCAATTCTGCATTTCCTTTGCTTTACACAGCTCCGAACCCTGAAGCTCATGTTTTATGATTTCTGCATCTACCTGGATAATGGCATGCTCTTGCAAGCCATGTCTACTTGGCTGCACATCCGCACTCTGGAAATCGATGACGCAGGTGGCCCTTCTTCCGAAGTCTCCCTCCGTGGATTATTCACAGTGATCGGTCTATGTCCACAATTGCATACACTACAAGTTCCAATCAATATTACAACTATTGACATCGATCCTGATGCCGAGCCAATACAACATACCTCCCTACGATCGTTGGCTTTGGACTTATCCGGATTTCTAATAGATGCTGAAACTATCGCTCGCATCATTTCCGCCTGGCTCCCTTGTGTCGACCAAGTTCAAAACCTATATTGTTTGAATTGGGTTGAAGTCAACAAGTATCTTAGATCTTTGAGAATGGCTACTGCGCCGTATGTTGCGGGAGCCTCCTAGAATAATCGAGTATCTTCATGTCCGGGAATGTTGTTACATACATTCAAGTTCATTCGTTCATTCGTTATCGTTGTCGTTGCTATTGACTGCAGTTATAAACTACTGTACTAGTACTTCTGCATAATTGGTTCACTGTCATTAGTACGATTTCCAACATGATTACGTGCGCCACCTGAGCTCCACCGTTCACTGTGCTCGACGGTCCCCTCCCTCCTGTATACCTTTTGATATCCGTGTCTGTAACAGCCATGTGATTACACAGCACAATACTCATCTTCCCATCAGGAGACAACGTGTCTTACTTACGGTACGCCTTCTCTGTCTCATAAGTTTTATTCTATCTGGTCACCTACTCAAGTTCCATACTCGCAGGTCGCCGCTTGAACAAGCTATGATCTGATATTCACCAGGCAGGTGAGACGAGCTGTGTTGTCCAAATTTATGGCAGGGCGTTGTCGCTGACATTCCATCCGGCGCTGCAGTATGTGATCGTTACTTGAAGTGTGCAACTAAACCTATAGTTGCGTCGCGTCTACCTTGACATAGCCGAACTTAAGGTCATATTGGCCTGCTATAGCCATTGGATTTCGATTGCATACCTAGAGTGCGATCACAAAAGCAGGCAACGACTAACCAGTGAGTTGCGTTCGCACCTTCCCATGCGACCTGGAAGCTAGGCTCACCATTCCGAACCGAGTCTTTGCACAAGGAGTAAACTTGTGTCGCGCATGGCTCCAAAATGAGCTTGCCTTGAAAGATCTAGATCGACATGAAGACATCCGATCGACGCGTCGCAGTCAGGGCAGGTCCATGATCGAGCTAAGATTCGATGATCAAGATTGCAATTATGTTGATCGATCCACGCACGTATGTATAGGCAATTCACACACCTGTATTTGATTATCTGAATCTATGTTTGTTTTCAACACACGCACCCATATGTGTAGATGAAATTGTTTTCAACGCACACATGCAAGCTCCATAGCTAGTTTCAATGAATCTGTGCGAGGTTGTGAGCAAAAATTAATACAGAAAATGTTCTTGAAAGGCACGGACAAGGCGATGCGAGTAAATGCCGCTGAGTTTCCGCTTGCTCGTCGTTGGCGTACTCACCTAGGCCAAGGGATCGATCATGACATCTCCAAGGCTGGAGAACATAGGAATGATATCATGACCCGGGATCCGGACATCCCGGCGTATATCTAGGCACCCAAACAATCCTATTAGATGATGCTTGAAGCTTAAGGTCTGCCTCTCCGTTGTCTCCCTTCTCCATTTCTTCCATTTACTCTTATACTGCTTCCTAGGTTAACCCTTCCTTAATTATATCAAGCATCAAAGCAAGTACAACACCAGAACGGGACCGTCTATAGAAGTGAACCACACTGATACCAGAATCACCTTTAATGTTGTGTAGCTTCACCTCATCTCAGCCTTGCTCGCTGTCTCTGGGCTGCGAGCCCCTCGGCCTAGTTCAACGATCGAATCATGGATCCCAAGTTAGTTCTTCTAAATCGACCAACCATCTTTCAATGTGCACAGAATCCCAAGAAGTCGATGGCCATAGTACGTGTCTGATACAAAAACATAGTTAACACATAGCATCTCTATAGTGACACATCAAATCTCGGACATCAGCAATGGGAGGTCGCTGTGATGACTCAACCCAACATTGCTCGATAAAGTTCCAGTGACGATCTGCAATAGCAGGGATGTCTGGACGCTTAGGCTTGACACCTTTGAGGATGGCCACGACCACCTTGTTATCACTGCAAATGTTATAGTACGGCCGCTTGCCCGATAAAACCTGACACAAATGAGACAAGAGCGCTCCAGATGTACATTGTTGACAAACCTGGTATGTGATGCATCCAAATGAATAAATGTCACTTTCTAGTTTTGGTGAGCTAGATGCATCCTTGGCGTGCGAAACTTCGAAAAGCTCGGGCGCAGCCCATCGTACGTTACTCCTGATGTAAGAGGTCCCGTTCAGGTCAGAACATGTAGTCAAGAGCCCGTAGTCTAGAAGAGCTCTTCCGTCGCTATTGATAAGTACATTGCTCTAGGAGGAAATGAAGGTGTGAGAAACGTCATATATTTGCATACAATACAGTTACTTACACCTGTGAGATCTGCATGAGCCATTTCGTTGGAGTGAACTGTGCGCCATATACTATCAGCTCATAATAGTGCAATGTGAAAATGACAGCATACGATATTGAAGACCAGCGGCTACATCAGCAAGCTGTTACGACGCCCATGAGTTGTGGTGTAGCTACATCGTTGGGGAGGACTTACTAAACCGAATTTGTGGGCCCCAGAGAGACCGTCATAGTGTTCATCAAGATATGTGCTTAAGGATCCGTTGGACATCCATGGAGATACGATAGCTGGTACTGGACCAAATCCGTAGGTAATCCTGCACAAGGAAAGAATGTTATCATGGCGCAGTAGTTTCCACTTGCGGAAGTCGTCCATTAACCTCTGCAAATATTTTCATATCATTAAAGTGAGTGTTCTACATCATGAGCATGTCGGCCCACCTCGTTATCGATTTTCTTGAAACTGTCATCCTGAATTTCAATCCTGACACATTTAACTGCCACCTTGAAACTTATCATCAGCTGTCAGAATTTACTACGAAACTTATACCAACCTCCATGTTATTATCTTTGTCTGAGAATATGCATTTCCAGATGTCACCAAAACTGCCCTGGGCAGCAGCATAAGTCAAGTCCTTGACAATCTTGGTGGTGAGGTCAACCGGGCGTCTAGATTCATTGAAAAATTTGTCACATCAGTGGGGAGCTCTGCAACAAACTACGTCTACCCACCCATTATCACTGACGTCTAAATACAGGTGCGTCGAGCTCAACATTTCTGTCTCCGGTTGGCCTTTCGCCCATTTCCAAACATCACCACAGCCTCCTTGAGCGAGAGGGTATGTCAATTCCTTGCCAACCTTGGCGGTAAGGTCGACCGGGCGTCTAGATTTGTTGGAAAATTTGTCACGTCAGTGGGGAGCTCTGCAACAAACGACGTCTACTCACCCGTTATCACTAACGTCTACATCCAGGTACATTGAGCTTGACGTTTCTGTCTCCGGTCGGCTTTTCGCCCATTTCTCAGGTAGCAGACTAAAGATCCATTCGGAAAGAGAATTCATCTCTCGACCTGGCAAGGTAATGAGGTCGAAGCCTTGTAACCACAAGAACAAGGATATTGGCTAGGCTTTGCGAAATCCCTGCCTTTATATGGACAGGCTCCAAGAGGCCACTGGCTGTGCATTGCACATAACAAAGGGTGGGAATTTGTCACGACCGGACGGGACTATGCCACGTTGTAGTTATCAACTTAAAACGGTTGGGCGGCCTTCTTGCCATTGAACTGCCCTGGGCAGTAGCATATGCCAATTCCGTCACGACCTTCATGGTAAGCTCGACCGGGCGTCTAAATTTTTGACAAATGGGTCCGCTTCGGTAAAGCCCTACGTCTACTCACTCATTATCATTGAAGTCTACATCCAGGTGTATCGCGCCCGACGTTTCTGTTTCCGGTTGGACTTTCCGCCATTTGAGTTCAGCTTGGGAGTCGACGGTGCTATTACATTCTCCCGAATTCTCCATTGTGGCATCTGACTGATCGTTGTCAAGGAGAAGCTGCGAACCTCCTGGAGTTCCTCGTCAACACGATGCTTCAATCTGTCAAGGCAACCGAGGAACTGGAGACATGACTGCCGGACTCTCGTTGAAAGTTGATCAAGGGCCTGCACTGACGATGAGGACAACAGGTTTTGATCTGGAAGAATTCACAGTGCACTCACGTCTTTGTCTATGATGCAGTGTAATAAATAGGTGAGTGTTCATGCCGGGAGAATGCTTGCGAGAGTTAGGAAATTGAACGGCTTTCCTATTCTATTGCCCATGGCACATCTGGCAGGCGTTTTGGGCTGTGCTCTTTCAACGAGCCAGGTCTTATGCGATGCAGCATCATTGTAAGTTACTCCTGACTCTCGTTTTAGCAGGAACAATCAGCCAATACCTAGATACGAATGACTCACCATTTCAATTAACTTCGCTGTGCGCCTCTCACATCGTGATGAAGTATGACAATGGCGAGGCCGATAAATTCATCGTCCTCATCTTTGGCAGTTGCGAGTCAGCAAATAGAAAGAGCTTCGAGTTCTACAGCCAGTTGTACATGACGAAGCCGTGCGATTGAAGTCGATGACGGTCAGCGCCAGATCTAGACACGGCCGCGATAATGATAACTTGAACCTCCGCGGAGTAATTCCGTTTTCACTGCATGTGACATGTCAGCATCTGTCCAATTGAGTTATGAGTTATTTTTAGATTCGTGCTCATCGAAATCTTTTGAAACTCCAAGATATTCTCATCCATGTCTACACTCGTCTACATCGGATGTAGACGTCTAGACGCCAATGATCTCCATAATTCAAGATCCAGGTACCTGGGACCGGGTTAATATTGCCTACAGCGTAGTGAGGTCAGATCTTTATACATAGGTCGGAGTAATGACAAGACTTTGAACGAAAATATTATGCTTTTCAGGTTGCCTTTATATCACATTCAAGAGGCTGCTGGCATACTAGAACCAAGGCGTTACATTTATGGGAGTATTTTAGGAATATGCTGTTGCCAGACGTCTAGACTCTGGACAGCCATACTCTGGTCATCCGCAGCCCTGTGATCGATCAACAATATTAATGAATCAGTACCGAGAAATCAAAAGGCATCTTTGGCATTGCCCATTCCAAATCGGAGTCTAGTGAGTTAAAAGCCACACTTATCTTCCATTGAATATGACCACCAGGTGACCTTTTACCCGTGCACAGGTCCGGGCGGGCAGCAGACTAAAGCGCGCCGAACGATAAGATGCAAACACAGGTCAATAACGTGCCACTACACTTCCTACGATCCAGCCACAGCACCCCCAACAATGTCGACTTCCTTGCCACAGTTCTATCAGTCTAACAACCAGCTGGTATAGGCTTGGTAATCTTTAGTTGGTCATCATGTACGCAACGCGTCATAGGGACCCACGCTGTTGCTCGAGTCCAAATGCAACTTGAAACCGCCATTTGCTTGGCGTTTTTATCTCCGCATCTATACTCTTCAGGTCTTTTATTCGACGAACTGAGAAATTAACATGCTGAATGCATGCGTGGTGATTGATCTAATTTGTATTCATAGGGTCCCAATGTACGTTATTTCCACTCTTTGTATATCGTATTTCACCAATGCATGAACTAGCCATCACGGTCCAGACAGTCTGGGCCCTCAGCACCATGACGAACGCTACTTTGGTAACAGTGGACACATCATGATCGAGCCTCCTACTGTGATGCTCGAGACGGGTACCGGTTAATTGCTAAGTTCTTCTACAGAATAAAATCTCCTTATCATCCCAGAATTCCGGTCCTGATGAGTGGCTGGGAGACGGGTTAGTCTTCATCTTGTCGAATGTACTCGATATGAGCTGATATATCTTAGGAGAACAGAACTAGCTGGTATGACCCCTTCAAGACCTGGTTCGAGGTAAGTGCGGATGTTGAGGATAACCACGCATCTCACGATATTTCGTTAGACATGTACCTTTGATCCGTTGGCAAACTTGACCGAGGCGCAGTGCAAACTTGTTCTCGGAGGTAATCACATTCTGCTCTTGAGGTTAAATTGACCTTTCTGAGCGATGCGTAGGCGAGCAACTTCTATGGAGCGAGCAGTCTGGTCCCAAAAATATCGACCTGACCGTGTCGCTCACTGCCACTGCACTCAATGTCACCGAGGCACTTCCTCGTTTGCATGTGAGTGGTGCTTCTTGATGTGGAAGTACTCAACCGACAGACGAACGATGCAGGACGTCAGGTACAGGATGATACAGCGCAGCGTCAATGCCATCACATTCCAGCTGCAGTGGGTGTGCGCTCTGATAGAACACATGTGATCTGTACGCTTGATTTAGCACTTGATCGGAATTCTGGGGTCTTTGCATGGTCAGTGTTGACATTAAGTATTCAGTTTGTACTGTCGCTTACAAGATGTGTACAGCTCTTGTTCGCCAAAAACATGATTTATGTCAAGACATTTATGCCTCTGCTCTGCAAGCGTTGAGAAGTCGCGCAGCGAAATGGAAGTTGACGCAATGTTCAAAGGGATCCACCGAAAGTATGCAATAGATTGTATATATGGTACGTGCAGTGCACATCTTGACTGGGATTTTGAAAATAACAGGTAATAACGCCCATAGATACATATGAATGTCCTATGTCGAATGATTCTCCGCATCCCGCACCCTTGATACCTGATACTCCATCATTCAGAAAATCCAACCCTACATCTCGACTTGAACAGACAAACAACACTTTGACTGGTGTTCCGGGTGAAAACCTTGACAACAGGTAGGTGGCTTGCTTGCTAAGTTACAGTGCTCCTTCTCCGTCTCGTTAGTCTTACCCTATAGGTTATCTGGTCACCACTCTCCAAGTTTCATACTCGCAGGTCGCCGCTTGAAGATATGATGTTCGTTTGGCAGGTGGAACGAGCTGTGTTGTCCATATTTCTGGCAAAGCGTTATTGCTGATATGCATCCAGCGCTGAACTAAACGCTAAGTGAGACCTTTATACCCAGATAACGGACTTCGGTGCGCAAGGATTGACATGTGTGCACTGAGCGTCAAATATCTAGCGATTTTGTCATACAAGATAATAATCTAGGATCCTCCAAAAGGACACACATGGTGCGTCATCACATTCATGCGCGTGAAAGCCTTTTTGCATCCTGGACAGACAGTCACAACCTTCTTCTCATGCACCTCGTTAATGTGACGAGTGAGGCCATCCTCGCTTATGAATTTCGGACACTTGTCCCTGGGGCATTTTACTTTGGGGCGGTTTACTTTGACCTTTGTTTGGCTAATTTGCACAACAGAACCAACTTCATGGGGTGCAGGCTGTGGCACGAAGTAGGGGTCGTGCGAGGATATAGATGGTAGAACAGCATCGAGGCTATTGATTCCAGCTTGGGAATCGACGATGCCATCCATGTCATAGGATACCGGCAAGCCCAGATGGGTTACATTGTTGGCAAACCCAAGGGTGCCGTTGAGCAATAAGCCTGTATATGGTAAACATTCAAAGGAAAGTTTGCGTATACAACAACTTACCCTCTGTATCCTCTGACACCGATCCAGTGACCCCGTACGATACTTCATGGGGTGCAGGCTGTGGCACGAGGTAGGGGCCGTGCGAGGGTATAAATAGTGGAATAGCATTGAGGCTATTCAGTTGAGCTTGGGAGCCAACGATGCCATCACGTCCACCCACATGCTTAAATGTGATAGGAGAACTGCGAGCGCCGTAAGACAATAAGCCTGTACATGGTACCGGGTAAGCATTTGAAGGAAAGACTGCGTATCAAGCAAGTTACCTGTTGTACCCCCTGACAGCGATTCGATGACCCCGGACGATGTTCCATGGGATGCTGCAATTTGGCTATCATGCCAAGACCCAAGCGATGTGGCATTGAGGTCATTGACTCCAGCTTTAGAGTCAACGGTGCCATCACGTCCACCCGAATGCTCCATTATGAGACCTAACCGGTGGTAGCCAGCAAGATTCTTGATGCTGCGGATCTCCTGCATTGCGTCACGCACACTATGGTCTGACGCGTCAAGGCGGCGCTCTAACTTGTCAAGGCGGTGGTCTAACTTTTCAAGGCGGAGGATGGCCTCGATAATTGCCAGGAGTGTTAGACGATACTGGTCATCTGGATTTTGTGGATCCATGTCTTTTTTTATGATGCAGCCTAATGTATGGGCGAGTGCGAATGGGGGGAGAATATTTCGACAGTTGGGAAATCGAACGGCTTTATACTTGTCCCACTGGCCCGTCTGACAGGTGCAATCTGGCCGTGGCTCATGGCCATGTTTCGATACGCACTTTGGTTGGCAAGCGGAACGTGAATCCAAGGTCTGCCTCCTCAGTTGGATCCGAATTAACCGGCCAACTTTACCCAATGAGCTTAAGTCCTTATAATAGCACGATGACAACAATAATCACTTCCTTGCGGCTTGAATCACCTTGTCTGCGCGCTCCGACCCATCATGCACAAAAACGAATGATCGACTTCAAGCTTCAAGTCTGGTTTGTGATGTTGTAGCTCGAACAGAACGTCTCAATTATGCGTATTATGGCCGTGAAATTTTACTGACCTGTATAATTATAATTCGTACGTCATTCGCAGGTAGGGGTTGGTATTTCCCTTATTGGAGTGTGATAGTAAGCGAGCCATGGATCACATGACAAGTCGGTCCTTCTATGTATATTAAATCTCGGCCATCAGCGATAGGAGGTCGCTATGATGACTGAACTAAAGTTTGCCACAGGTATGACCTTTCTATTGCTGACTATGGTTCTGAGGAGGCCCTTCTAGGGGTAGAGCACGGTATAGCAAATCTAATCGGCGTAGTAGAAGCCAAACGACCTGCTGCAAAGTGCTGCGATGCCGCATCTTATTGAAATGGCCCTGGTTTACGAGATCTGTCCGAAGGGTCATATTCATCCTAACAATTACAGCTATTTGCAAAAAGGTTGGCAGTACCCGATATTTACCCGATATTAAATTATTGTTCACCATATTTGGAAAGTACTATGCATACCTCTAAAAAGTTCAGTTAACGTTCGTTTCATCTCCGAATACAGGAACAGCACTGAGTACTGATTACTGATTGCTGACGCTTGTTGCCAGTTGTTATTGGGTCGAGAGTTGTCGCATCTCAGTCCCACAGCTACTACCTTACACCCAATGAGTAGCCATTACAGAATTCGAGTTCACTGTATCGTGACTCATGCACATGAATCCCAGTGAAAATCGACCAGAATTAAGCCGATACGTGAAGATAGATGTCTAAGCACAAATTGAGGTAGATACAGATCTAAGAAATTCGAGACAGCAAAACTCAAATTTTGTGCAAAACGCAAAGAATCTTTGTCAAGGTCAAAAATGTAAGAATGGTATTGTAATTTGCACAACGCATTTGACAAACTTCGCATTTGGGACTTTGTTACACTTGTGTCGTGCATACATCTTGTACCATATCGCGCTTTGCAGTTTGCACTTACTGATCGACATTTCTCTGCGCAGATTCATTCACATCGACGGCAGAGGGGTGAAGTCCTATATCACCCCAGCATCTTTCGATGAAATCCGACTCGATGGTCTTCTAGGCTTCTCACCCTTGAGCATCAGGACAATGACTTGATGATCGTTTCGCACATCTGCATAGGGTGGTCTGCCGTAATAACCGGGTACCTTACCCCAACGGAACAAAAATAGGATTTTGTTTAAAAAAAAAACCTTTAGTCGCAAACTAGCAATGCAACCACTAGAGACACCTCAAACCTGAAGCATGATGCATCCGAAGGAATAAATATCACTGGCTGGTTGTGGAGTCAATGACTCTTCGCCCTGGGTACCTCGAAGAGCTCCGGCACAGCCCACCGCACGTTGCTTCTGATGTATGACGTCCCTGAGAGCTCAGAACACATTGTGAGAATTCTATGGTCTGCTACGTAGGCATTGCGATCCGAATCTATCAGAATGTTGTTGTGGCATTTCAGATCAGAGCCAGAAGGCAGGTATCAAACAACTAGTACATACGGCGGTCAGGTCACCGTGGACAAACGCCCTTCGGGTGGACTGTAATGCCGTTACTGAAGATTCCACATACGGTAGCTGATGGCTGCAGCGACTTGTCGCAACTAAGGTCCAAATCAATGGCATGAAGTATGAGCCCTTCTGAGAGATAACTCACGATCAGGAGCTTTTTTTGATGATTAATTCTGTGAAATGGTGTTCAAGATAAGTAGTGAGCGGTTGTGTATCCAGGGAGAAACCATCGCTGGAAGTAGCCCAAATTCGTGACTAAAACCGAGCAGAGGCAAAAGATTGTCGTGATGCAGTTGCTTCCATGCACGAAAATCGCCCAAAGACTCAAGAGTCTCTGAAGACATAACGTTTGAGTAAGCGCATCGCATGCAAAGGGGAAACCGATAACGTACTTGAGTAACTCTGGCCCTGAATTCGTCATCTGCGACATCGATCCTTATAGATTTGACTGCTACCTGTCATGGATTCAGATTGCTGGACGGTCATACGTGTAGCATGTGGTCAAGAGCTCATGGTCCACTACAAGAGCTGTTTCGTGAAGTACTGTTGAGAAGTACGTTGCAGGAACGAGGATGTGAGAAGCGTCGCATATCTGCACACCGTACAGTTGATTACACCTGTGAGATCTGCACGAGCTACTGTGTTGACCGTCCATGCGCCATATGCTATCAGTTTATCTCAGTGCAATGCGAAAATGACATGACATGACATACGATATTGGAGACCAGCAGCTACATCAGCAAGGTGTTGCGACGCCCGTGAGCTGTGGTGCAGCTATACCACTAGGGAAGACTTACCAAACTGAATTTGTAGGCCTGTCATAGTTTTCGTCAAGATATGTGCTCAAGGATCTGTCGGGCATCCCTAGAGATACGATAGCTGGTACTGTGCCAAATGGTTCTGGTTGGACTTTGCACCATTTATTGGGCAAGGCACTAAAGATCCAGGTGGGAAGGGAAAGTACTTGTCGCGCTGGCACTGGCAGCGTAAGTTGAATGAGATCGGATCTTTTAGGCCCGGGGCAGTTTGGATAACCACCAGAACGAGAATATTTGCAAGATCCCTGCCTTTATGTTGACATTCAAGAGCTGGCTGCAGACTAGCACCAAGGCGCTGGCAATCATGGGGGTTTACCACGACCACAGGAATATGCCGTTGTACCAACATAAGGTTAGTCCGAAATTTTGCATGATGTTGATCAAATTTTTAGGGTTCCCTTCTCTTTGGTTGTCCAACCTAATAGTACGACCATGTCATCTGCAGCTCTGCGACCGATCAGCATCTCATGCGAAGACGGCTTTGATGGCGTTGACGGATCAGCTAGATTCTCCTTCCGTTTTGGCGACGCTTAGCGTGTGTTTGGCTTGCAAACGACAACGACATTTAGAATTGAGCATCCCTCAACTTTGCTCGAAAATACCGGGCAACGTCACTTTATCTCCCACCAGTTCTCCGCAGTCAATTCCCCACTCAATGATCCAACAAACCGGTAAGACCTCAGCCAGACACTACATCATCGAGGCTGACTTGAAAGTTCAGAATGGATAGCCTGTCAGATTTAACTGGCCACTTTTTTCGGAGGCCTGAGTGACGTCTGGCGATGGACATGGGAAAGGAAAGCTAGCATTATCGTCGTAAGTGCGTCCCGATTTCCATGTTCGAGTCTGATGAAGACACAGGTAGCTATGAAGTCAAACAGGAATCAAACAGAAGAGGATGCCAACAAAAAAAAGCCAGGTGAGTCAGCGTGCTCCGTACAATTTAGTGTTGCTTATTGGCTGTTATAGAGGCTTCGGGCTGAGCTCAAGGTTTGGTCAAGACTTACACGATACATCGTCCCACTGTACGGCACTGCATCAGGCTTTGGCCAATTCGTTGCCTCGGTTTACCCCTGGTATGACAATGGATCGCTTTCAGGTTCTCTGGAATCCTATGGTCAAACCGTGTCCATAATCAATTGTTTCCAACTGGTATGTCTTGCATGATCTGTCTGAAAGCGTACTCATGCCTTCGCAGCTCAGTGATATTTTTGCGGGTCTTCAACACCGTAAGTGACTTGCTCAGTTTCGCAGCATTGTTGATAATGGTTCTTTGCCTCAGTTCACTCGTGCTCCGCTGTTCAGGGCGATCTTACTGGGGTAGAGTTCGTGGGCGCGTCTTATTTCACGTCCGCCCTGGATGGCACTGTGCGGTGAATAGCACCCGAACTTTTTGCAATCCCGAAGAAGGCGCAATCATGATCCCGATATCAAATAGCGACATATATTGTATTTTTTTCCAGGTTTGCCCAAGATTACGTTCCTTCAACACTGAATCTCACCCTTGCGCCAGGTATTGACACCCTACTCCGAGTTGAAGCAAGCGCACAAGCTGTGGTCGCAATTTCTCTCGGGACAGAACTGTCGCGTCCGCGATCATTGGTCGCCATTGGAGTGTTATTCTCAATCGCTGGTCCGTCAAGGACTGTAGACCATCCTCTCAGCATGTGGATGAATACATCCAAGGCTAGCTTCACCTCTTACAGCATGACACATCGTTTCTCCCGACCAATCTCTTGAGGCTTACCATGATACTTGTACGGACTTGACTTGTGCAGCAAAACCATTTGAACCAAGTCCTGTATTCTCGAATATTCCTCTATAGTCAGGACCATATAATAATAATTCGGATGATAGCAACCCTTGATTCGGTATCACTTATAAGTGGGCTACTCGCATCGGTTATCGATGTCACCTTGAAGCTACGCAGTATCCCAGCTTACCATCAACAGTGCATAGTATTCTCCTCAAGACGTTTACGCAGCGAATGATGCATGATGTTCAATACATTATGCAGTACGTCTCCCTTTATCACGATCTTTTGTTCGCTGATGGTGTTCCCGCAGAGGTATCGATGTTATGATGGTCAGTACCTATCAATCAATGGACTGAACATTCTACCAGGAAATAGATACACACGGCCACGCTGCTATCATTGTGGCCACTTACACTGAATGTGTTGCGAGCTTCGACGCTAGCCCGTGGACAAACTTCGCCAACGAGCCCCCTGCTAGCTAGCTTCGTTTTGCATTCTCAGAGGTCATGAACTTTGCTGTTTCCTTGCTTACTCACGTCGGCGGTCGCAAAGATCCTTCCTTCAGCACCAGGGCAATGAAATTAGCAAACTTCTACGCCGACGACTACCTAGCGCAGCAGCAGCTCAACAGCACCGGCATGACACTGAACGGTGCTCTTGACACGTTCGCACAGACCACTCGCGGTGGACTGATTGTCCATGGAAAGATGCCTGTCGTATGGGAAGGTATGTGGTATGTTTCTTCCTTTGAATTATGGTATTGAATGGAGACGGTTGTTCAGAAATGGTCCTAGACTAGAATAGTACGCTCTCAAACCATACTATTGTGATGTAAGTATCATAATATCGTGATCTGTCTTCGCTGATTCAACTTTATTGAAAGTATTTGAATTTCTTCTGGGGATGCTGCAGTAGTGGCAAGGAGCTTTAGGATCATCCAAGCACCATCAAATCACTTCTACCTGGTTAGTTGACGAGTCCGTTTATAGAATATAATGTCCTTATTATCCTAGGATTATGGTGCTGGTGAGGGACTGGGAGACGACCCAATTGGGTTGGTCTTCATCTTGTCGAATATACTCGATCTGAACTGACATTTCTTGTGAGAACAGAGATCGCTGGTGCGACCCCTTCAAAAGCTAGTCCAAGGTAAGTATGAATGTTGAGGATAGTCACACATCTCACAATGTCCCGTTAGGCATATACCTTTCATCTGTTGGAAAACTTGACCGAGGCGCAGTACGAACTCGTTGTCGGAGGTAAACACAATCTAGTCTCGAGGTTAAATCAACCTTTCTGACCAATCTGCAGGCGAGCAAATTCTATGGAGTGAACAGTCTGGTCCCCAAAATGTCGACCCGATCGTGTGGCCATGCGTTGCATCATCAGCAGAAATTTTCTGGAGTGGGAAGCAGCCCACTGGTGCTGCACTCAACGTCGCCGAGGCACTTCCTCGTTTGCATGTAAGTAGTGCTTCTTGATGTGGAAGTACCTCGATGACAGATGGACGATATAGGACGTCAGGTACAGGATGGTACAATGTGGCATCAATGCCATCCCACTCCAGCCGCAGTGGTGTGCGCTTCGACTGGACGCATGCGGTATATACGCTTGATTTAGAACTTGATCCGTCTTTTCACGATTTGTCTTGGCGTTAATCAGTCTGCGCCGTTGCTTACAAGATGTGTACAGCTCTCGTTCACCCAAAACCTGACTTTATATTGAGAAATTTGTACCTCTGCTCTGCGAGAAGTCACGCAGCGAAATGGAAGTTGACGAAATGTTCGAGTGATGCACTGAACAATGATTCATGTGCATGAAATATCCAAATTTTTGGCAATAAATTGTATCCGTGCTACCGTGTATACTATATGTAGCTATTCACATCGATATCTTGGCTGGAATTCTGAAAATAGCCTTGGTCCCACGTAGACAATGTTACATAACACTTAGTTTTGAGTCCTGAGGACTCCTGACTCTACCCTGGGGCCCAGTGATGCATCAGGCTTTACTTGTTCCCGAAGTCCTCCTAGAGATATTCGCCTATGTATCACCTACTCAAACAACATCGACCCCGAAATCGCTTGCAGCGCTTGCAAGGACATGCAAAATCTTCCACGAGCCTGCGATGGATTTGCTGTGGACTGAAATCCATGGGTTGGAAGCACTGCTAGGCTGTGTAGCGAGGTTACATCCACTGATATATCATAGTAGTATAAGGGTCAGTGCACGACTTCACTACGCTTTGCTCGTTTCTTTTCGGCTCACCGAGCGTCTACATAATAGTGTGACGAACCCTGGACGAAAGGCGTTGAGCCATTATCTGCCCATGAGGTCCCTCAATTTCTGCGTCACTCCTCCCGCATACGCAAATTGAAGATACAATCTGAACATCCGTACCTTCTCTCTGTCATCCCCGCCGAGGCATGCATATTTCCGGGGCTGAAGTCATTAAGTCTTACCACCGTATATTTGGACCTCTTTCTGCCTCACATGCTGCACCGATGTCATCTATTGGGCGCCGACGAGGGTCTGCAATCTTTTGTGACACGTTGCATTGCTCTGGAGCATTTATGTATCTATACTCCTGAATGGCTCCTGGTTGACAGCATAGCAAATCAGATGTCATTGCTATCCGATAGGATTCATTGGTGCACGCGGCTTGTAACTCTTTCTTGTCCAATGCTCGACTGGGCAACATGGAAGCACCTCTCCTCCCTCCCTACTCTTCTCAAATTGAGAATTGAGCAAGGATGTAATGACCCTCCTTCGCTGTCACAACGAGACATCGTGGATCTATCAATCCTTAACATCACAAGTCTTTCCTTTCAAGACATCTATTGTGCTGCAGATATCATCACAGTCATGCAACACTCGGAATTTCCCTCGCTGAAAGAGTTCGAGTTTAGAGCCAAATGTATCTCTCCAGAAGAAGCCGAGCAACTCTTTCATGCTCTGTCCCGCTGCAAAGCGTGTCGGACTCTAGAGGAAATCACCATTTATTCTCTTAATGACGGATACCGTGTACCCCCAAACAGCGAGCCTTTGACACCAATTCCGCATTTCCTTTGCTTTACGCAGCTCCGAACCCTGAGGCTCACATCTTATAATTCCTGCATCTACCTGGGTAATGACATGCTCTTGCAAGCCATGTCTACTTGGCCGCACATCCGCACTCTGGAAATCAATGACTCAGGCGACTATGCTTCTTCTTCCGAAGTCTCCCTCCGTGGATTATTCACAGCGCTCGGTCTATGTCCAGAATTGCATACACTACAAGTTCCAATCAATCTTGCAACTATCAACATCGATCCTGATGCCGAGCCAATACAACATACCTCCCTACGATCATTGGATTTAGACTTATCCGAGTCTCAAACAACAGATGCCGAAACTATCGCTCGCATTATTTCTGCCTGGCTCCCTTGTGTCGACCAAGTTACAAACGTACATGGTTTGAGCTGGGTTGAAGTCAACAGGTATCTTGAATCTTTGAGAACGGCTACTGCGCCTTATGTTGCGGGAGCCTCCTAGAATAATTGAGTTCGGAATATCTTCACGTCCGGGAATGTTGTTACATACCTTCGAGTTCTTTCGTTCTTTCGTTATCGTTGTCGTCACTGTTGACTGCAGCTATAAACTAATGTACTAGTACCTCTGCATGATATCCAACAACCCATCGGTTCACTGTCATTAGTACGATTTCCAACATGATTACGTGCGCCACCTGAGCTCCACCGTTGACTGTGCTCGGTCCCCTTCCTCCTTCTGTATACCTTTGATATCCGCGTCTGTAACAGTCGTGTGATCGCGCAACACGATACGTGCTTGATACAATTCAACAACTGCATAGAAGGATACATCCATGCCATATGATGAGATACCATGGCTACGTCTAGCGCGCTATAAAGATAGTCTAATAATTATATAGAAGTGATGATGAAGAGAGGAAAGCGTGTCAAGAAGAGCGAATGTTCAATTTAGATGTCGTTAGTCGTAGACGGAAATTGTTTCAAGACCTGGAGACAACACTAGAGTACGGCAGTAGGAAGTTAGCAGGAGTGACGAATTCTCTTAGCGTTGATCAATTTGTGCTGTCGCTTCCAAGTTGTGTACAGTTGTCGTTCACGAAAACCTGACTTACGTCGAGAAATTTATGCCTTGAATTGGCTCTGCGAGGTCACACAGTGAAATGGAAGTTAGTGCAATGTTCGAAGTGACGCGCTGCACAATGAGGTATGGCAATACGTGGAGTCCACATCTTGACTAGGATTGTCAAAATAACAGGTAACAGCACCCATAGATGACTGTACTCACGTAGGAATGTCCTGTCTTGAGCGTCCCTTCGTTTGGAAAATCCGCTCACCACTAACCCTAAATCTTGACTTCAACAGACAAACAACACTTTACCTGTGTTCCAGGTGAGCACCTTGCCTCTCTCGGTATCCCACATTCTCATCCTCACATCTTCCCATCAGGAGACATCACATGTCTTACTTACGGTACGCCTTCTCTGTCTCGTTCTGTTTGGTCACCGCTACTTAAGTTCCATACTCGCAGGTCACCGCTTGAACAAGCGATGATCTGATATTCGCCGGGCAGGTGAGACGAGGTGTGTTGTCCAAATTTCTGGCAGGGCGTTGTTGCTGAAGCGCTGACATCCCATCCGGCGCTGCAGTACGTGATCGTTACTTGAAGCGTGCAACTAAACCTAGTTGCGTCGCGTCTGCCTTGACATAGCTGAACTTAAGGTCATATTGGCCTGCTATGGCCATTAAAATTCGATTGCATACCTAGAGTGTGATCACAAAAGCAGGCAGCGACTAACCAGTGAGTTGCGTTCGCACCTTCCCATGCCACTAGAAGCTAGGCTCACCATTCCGAACCGAGTCTTTGCACAAGGAGTAAACTTGTGTCGCGCATGGCTCCAAAATGAGCTTGCCTTGAAAGATCTAGATCGACATGAAGACATCCGATCGACGCGTCGCAATCAGGGCAGGTCCATGATCGAGCTAAGATTCGATGATCAAGATTGCAATTATGTTGATCGATGCACGCACGTATGTATAGGCAATTCACACGTCTGTATTTGATTATCTGAATCTGCCTGGCTTGTTTTCAACACACGCACCCATGTAGATCTGAAGTTGTTTACAACGCACGCACGCGTGCAAGCTCCGCTAGTTTCAATGAATCTGTGCGAAGTAATTTGTGAGCGAAAATGAATGCGGAGAACTTGAAAGGCACGGACAAGGCGATACGAATAAATGCCGCTGAGTTTCCGCTTGCTCGTCGTTGGCTTACTCACCTCCAAGGGATTGATCATGACATCTCCAAGAGGAATGCTGGAGGTATAGTTGTGGAACATAGGAACTCCGGAGATGCCGGTGATAGGGCATATTTATATCTAGGAACCCGAACAATCATCCAATGGGGCCCGGGGGCCGAGTCCCGACGTCTCGTCGACGTTTTTCTTGTCAGTGCAGCCATACTTCTCCTTCCATATTCACGTAGAGGGCTGCACTCTCTTAAGTTATTTTTGAAAACACTTTACATTGCAAACAACGGTGCGCATCGCCTTCCCTGTTTCTTTCGAGATATTCATACCTATCTCTTGGGCTTTCTCTGCCGATATTGATGGCTCGACCTGACCCGAAGTAGCGAATGAAGTCAAGGGTGTGGAGAATCTATACGAGCGGGAGGCTTCGCGACACGCTAAACAGGTACGAATATCTCAGTATTCGTTTATGAAACTCTATTAACAAAACGTTGTACCTAAACAGGTACGAATCTACTTGTACGTCAGTACTCTACTCAAACGTTACAGTGGGATAACAACTCACATCTCAGTATTCGTTTATGAAACTGAGATGTTACGACTTTGGCTGGCTCTTCTTATACGGTGAGTGTGCCAGCAAGACTTTTGATGAAAACATATATACTTAAGAACAAAAAGATTGCCGATGTTGACACATCGTCCATGTTCTCCGTTTGGAGACGCTCGCACTCGATGTGGTTCATTCTTCGGCCGTACTCTCCTTCTCCCCTTCGGCTCTGTCTCTCTCTGCCTTATGCTCCTCGGATACATCGGCTCTCAACACTCCCCCTCGAGCGCTATCCAAACGCATCAATGTCCGTAACCTCTGGAGTCTGGGACGTGCTAAGGGCTTGGTGAATGCGTCCGCAACGTTGTCTTCGCTTGGGCAGTAGATGATCTTGAACGTGCCATCCTTCACGTGTCCGCGCACGAAGTGGTAGCGCAGGTCAATATGTTTGGTACGTGATTGAAACTTGCCTGTTGAAACTAACGCTATAGCTGCTTGATTATCGCAGAGTATGGGCGTAGGGAGGTCGTGGATGTCGTAGAGCTCGCACATGAGGAGTTGTAGGTAAAGTACCTCCCGTGCCACGCTGGTCAAGGCGATATACTCAGCCTCTGCCGTAGATAGTGCTATAATGGGCTGTTTGCGCGCGCTCCAGGAAACGGGGCCTCCATTGAGCAGTACAATGTACCCGCTCATGGAGTGCCTATGAGGCTGGGATGCCCAATCGGCATCAACAAAGGCCTCGATGCCTCCGTCGCTGGACCCCAGTGTGAGTTCATATTCGGCGGTGCCTTTCAGGTACCACAGGGCGCGTTTGGTAGCCTCCCAATGAGGTCTACCTGGATTCCTCATGAATTGGGATAGGGTTGCCACTGCAAAGGCGATATCCGGCCGGGTACTCGTAGCGGCATACATCAATGATCCGATTGCGCGTTGATACGGCACATCACGCATAGCTTGGACTTCGGCGTGCGTTGCGGGAGATTGTTCCATGGAGAGGACAGTGCCTGGTTCCATGGGCGTGTGGAGGATCTTTGCGTCTTCCAGGTGGAACCGTTCGAGGATCGTGTCGACATACGCCTTTTGGGATAGCGTCAAGGTGCGTGCTATTCGGTTTCTCATCACCTTAAGGCCTAGTAACCAGCTCAGTTCCCCTAGGTCGGTAATTTCGAAGTGCGTGCGCAGCTCGGACTTGAAACGATGGATATGGGAGATATGGTTGGCGGTGACGGCCATGTCATCGACTGACACGGTGATGACGACGTGTTCGTTCAAGGTGTGTTTAAAATAGACAGCTTGGTCTACCTTCGATCGACTGAACCCCATTTCATTGAACGCTCCAGCCAGTTCTTGCGCCCACTCGTACCCGGCCTGCTTGAGTCCAGGTAAGCTCCGTTTCAACTTTAGCACCTTTCCTTCCTGACCATCCTTCAGATATCCCGGGGGCGCTCTCATGTAGATTTCCTCCTGCAGACTCGCATATAGGTACGCACTTTTAACATCCACCTGATGTATCTCCCAGTCACGCTGAGCCGCCATCGTTAGCACGGCACGTATAGTGCTCATATTGGCTGTGGGGGCGAAGGTTTCGAAGAAATCGACCCCATACTTCTGGCGCTGTCCATTGGCGACTAGACGCGCTCGAAGCTTCAGTTTCTCGCCGTCCGGGCCGCGTTTCGTGGCCAGGACGTAATGACATGGGATTATGTTTACGCCTCGAGGTGCGTCTACAATATCCCACGTGCCTAGCTTCTCGAGTTGACTGATTTCGTAATCTATGGCTTCTTGCCATTCCACAGCGTCCGGGCCTTTCAGGGCTTGTTGGAGGGTTGGCTCTGGTTGTACCGCTGCCAATGCCAGGTGAATGTGCACCTCTTCATCTAAGAGGTCGATTTCTGACGCTTCTAACAGGTTTTCCATGGCGACGGCAGCCTTTTGGCCTTCGTTTAGCGCCACGTAATATCCTGGAGGTGGTCTGGCCCTCGTTTCCCTCGTAGGAGGAGTAGATGGCTGAGGTTGCTGGTCGGTAGATGGTTGAGGTTGCTGGCCGGTAGATGGTTGAGGTTGCTGTTGTAGTTTGGTGGAGATGGGCTGGACGCTATTAGGTGAGTCTTTATTAATATTGCCGCTATTATGTTCGTTGACTGCAGCAGACTCCCCCTCGTCCAGCACACCATCTCTTACCTCCATCGGTGGGAAGGTAACGTTCCTTTCCACTGAGACACGCCGCTTACCCGGCCAGTACACCCGGTAACCTTTGCTTTCGGCATCCACCCCCACAAATACTGCCTCTTCCGCCTTCGCCTCCAGCTTGCCCGCCTCCAGGACATGGACAAAAACCTTGGCCCCAAACTCATGGGCCTGAGACAGGTCTGGTTTGGACTTGCGCACCAGCTCATAGGGCGTGCTACCTGGGATGGCTCTCGACGGTAGGCGGTTCTTGAGCCAGGTGGCGTAACTAACGGCCTCGGCCCACAGGTATTTTGGCATATCCTTGCCCAGGAGCATCGCTCTCGCGTGCTCGACCAGGGTGCGGTTGAGGCATTCTGCGACACCGTTCTGCTGAGGTGAGTCGTGGACCGTTAGTTGGCGCTCAATACCTTGCTGACGCAGGTGATTTTCGAACTCTGTGCTCAGGTATTCTCCTCCCCGATCTGAACGCACTTTCCGCAACCGGGTTCCGGGCGTCTGACGATCGAGCCAGGCCTCGTAGGCCTTGAAAGCCGTGAGTGCTTCGCTCTTGTGTTTCAGGAACTGCAGCTTCGTTTGGCGACTAAAATCATCCGTGAAACTAATATAATAGCTGCAGCCTCCCAAGCTTGTCGTCTGCGCCGGCCCCCATAGGTCCGTATGGACAAGTTCGCCATAGGTAAGTGCTCGCGTCTTCGTCTCCTTGGGGAAGGACTGCCGCGTTGACTTAGCTTTGACACAGGCTTTGCAGAACTCGGCGGCGGGCACTGGGTCAACGTCAATGCCCTCGATTAGGCCCTTCTTGACTGCGTCAAGAAGGGCCACATGCGACACGTGTCCTAGGGAGCGATGGAGTTGGTTTATGGTAGGTTTTGTCGCGGCAACGTTGGCTCTATGCTTACGCTCAGATGTCACCGAGTAAAGTCCTTGGACTTGGGGAATTTCCGCGATGGTCCTTCGTTCGGGGGCAGCAGATAGTATCTTGCACATTCCCCCTTCGAACAGTACGGCCAAGCCGGCAGACGCTATCCTGTTGGTGGATATTAGGGTGAAAGCCATGGAGGGGGCATAGAGGACATCCTTGAGCGTGACAGTTGTCTGCTTCAGGCCCAATGGTAAGTCTATCTTAACATCTCCGCGTCCTGTCGCATTGACAGTAGAGCCGTTTGCAGTGTAGACCTTCTGCGGTGGTATATCGATGAAGGTCACGAATTTTGCCCTATCGGGGCAGAAATGGGATGTCGCGCCGGAGTCTACAATAGCTCCACGGCGGTCTGGAGGTACGTCCATAGATTTAGCGATGACTGCTAGATCTGACGTCGCGAAAGCGTAATTATCTTTTACCTCCGGCTCCTTGGCTGCGTTGGCACTGTGTTTCTGGGTGCGTCCTCCTTGTCTCTGTCGCTGATTCGGCCCCTGACCCTCCTTGCCTCCTCCTTTCCGCCAACAGTCACTCTTCCAGTGTCCCTTGCGATCGCAGTTCGTGCAGAGTGCGTCGGGGTTGGACTGTGGGGCTGAGCTCTGAGAGCTCCTGCTCCTCCCCGGGTTTGTTCTCACAGAGAGCGCACTGTTTGTTCCCCTTTTGTTGGGACGTCTGTCGGTGAGTAACCGATGTTCGTATTCCTCGGTGATGATCGTGATGAGTTCGTAGGGAGATAGAGGTGTTTTGGTGATCTTAGCGGCTGCGTTCATGGATGAGAGAAGCGGGCGGTAGGATTCGGGCAGAGACCCTAAAATTATAGCATGGAAGTCCACATCGACGACGGTAACCCCCATTCCAGCTAGGGACTCCCGCAGGCGCAAAAGCTCAGCAAAATGCGCCTTCACGTCTCCTCCTTCTTCGCACCTCGTCTCCTGGAGCCTTCGTCTCAGATCTATCTGGACAAGTTCTGTTTTGCCTTCGTGAATTTGACATATTTCTTTCCAGATTTCGGACGCAGATCCTAACTTTTGGACTCGTAACAGGAGCCGATCCGTGATCGTGCAGAAGATCTGCTGTTTTACGAGTGAGTTCTTTTGTTGATACTCGTCAGTCTTCGCATCGAGCTCATCAATCTCCTTTTGCGTAGGCGTTGTACCATCCGGCTTCGTAACGACCCCCGTAGAGCTCACTATGAAAGGCGTAGGCTCTATAGCTCGACCATCGGTATATCTCGTGAGTCCTCGTGCACCTATTGCTGTTAACGTCCGTTCCTTATAGGTTATCCAGTTCGAGCCGTCTTCGGCAAGCTTCGGGATGTTAAAAAGGCTTGAGTTGGCGCTGGGAGCAGACGAGTCCATGGTCGAGACAGGGCTCATAACCTGTGGAGAATCTATACGAGCGGGAGGCTTCGCGACACGCTAAACAGGTACGAATATCTCAGTATTCGTTTATGAAACTCTATTAACAAAACGTTGTACCTAAACAGGTACGAATCTACTTGTACGTCAGTACTCTACTCAAACGTTACAGTGGGATAACAACTCACATCTCAGTATTCGTTTATGAAACTGAGATGTTACGACTTTGGCTGGCTCTTCTTATATGGTGAGTGTGCCAGCAAGACTTTTGATGAAAACATATATACTTAAGAACAAAAAGATTGCCGACGTTGACACGTCGTCCATGTTCTCCGTTTGGAGACGCTCGCACTCGATGTGGTTCATTCTTCGGCCGTACTCTCCTTCTCCCCTTCGGCTCTGTCTCTCTCTGCCTTATGCTCCTCGGATACATCGGCTCTCAACAAAGGGCGTGCTTTCCTCCACCATGGTGGCCTTGCAGCAAGTGGACATCAACACCCCCAGGTCCCATCTTGTCCATAAGGAATCACTTCATCAAATATCTAACGACTTTCTTATACAAGATCACAATCTAGGACATTCCACATCCGGTCCGAAGCGGCCTATGCTTATTCATCTGGTACGGACACTTGAACTCCTTTCCGCAGCCTGGACAAACAGCCTTAATCCTCCCTTCGTGCACTTCTGTGACGTGACGAGTGAGATTATCCTTGTTGATGAGTGCCGAGCATTTATCCCAGGTGCATTTTACCTTTGCTTGGTTAACCTGCCCAACGGGGACAAACAGTTCCGCATCAGGTCTGGCTGCAGAACTCAATAGGGCATTTCCCGGCTCGAAATAAATTCTCTGGAAGGGTTTCGCAGCGGGCTCATAGACGGAATTGGACGTGCCATGGAGCAATAAATCTAGGGATACATTGTAAGTGTTTCAATGAAATGTTGCGAACGATAACGAATTTACCGAGGCGAGCATCCAAACCATCTGATGACGATTCCCTGACATGCGGGTCAGAAAATGTCGGAATGCCTGCAGAGTACATGCTGTACTGAGGCTGAGTTACACAGTCGGCACTGCGGGTGCCATGGGGCAATGAGCCTGTACATGGTAAGCATTCAAAGGAAAAACTGCATATACAGCAACTTACCCTCTGTACCCTCTGTTAACGATTCCATTACCCCGAATGATGCTTCGTGGGGTGCAGGCTGTAGCACGAAGCAGGGGTCTTGCGAAGATTCAGACGGTAGGATAGTATCGAGGCTATCGAGTCCAGCTTGGGAGTCGATGGTGCTATCACATCCGTCCGAATCCTCCATTGTGGCATCTGACCGGTAGTTTTCAAGGAGATTCATGATGCTGTGAACCTCCTGGATTTCCTCGTGCATGCGACGCTCTAACCTGTAGAGGCGATTGAGGCACTCGAGATATGACTGCCGGACTAGTCTTGTTGAATGTTGATCAGGGGCCTGTACTGACCATGAGGACAACAGGTTTTGTCGTGTTAATCTGGATGAATTTATGGTGCGCTTGTGTCTTTTTCTACGGTGCGCGCGTAAACTATCCATCTGTAGACTCTGGGCGACAGGTAAAACAGTAGGGAAGCAGGAGAACCCTTGTTATCCTTTGTGAGGGTTGGGAAATTGATCACAAAATGGGACATTATCCCAAGGCCTTTTTATCATGCGCTTCATGCCCATGGCACATCTGGTCGGTATTACGCCGGTCCAACAAAATTTTATCTTCCTCCTGTTGCACGACAGGACCAATTGGCAAGTCTTACCGGAAATGAAGTGCATGTCAACTGCAAAGCGTAATTGTTGCCTGCCACTCGAACCCTGTGTACCTGTTATAGATTTAGATCACTCCATGGCCATGCGCGGCCTGCTTGCTTCTAGGTGACAGTCAAACACGTTGTGAATGAATTACACACATACCCGAAATAACCGTGCACTATGTCAATGGACGACTCCTTTGAGTTCAGGTAGGCTGCGTTAGAAGTTGGTGTGACTCACAGTGCACTGTCACAGGTACTATTATGCTGGTTGTCGGGATGTGTCTAGCTATATACTGTGGTAGTTCCATTTGAACGGTCTCCATCGCGGTGACGTCCTTCTTAACCAGGAACCGTGTTGTAACAAGAAAGGATCATTTCGGTTGGTACTCGTGCTCCATGATGTCAACAAGGGCAGATGGCAGGGACACAAAAGGATCGATATTCTGTTCTCCATCAATACTGGTTGATATTGCCATTCCCAATCGACTTCCAAACATAGCCGTGGCGGTCCATGTATCTTCTCTTTCATGAAATCCGCGACAAAGAGCTAATTACGTCTGCAGCCTTTACTCAACGACATGGAATTCCATCAGGGCAATCCACTAGAATCCGCCAGCACCATACCTGTTGGTTCGAATTCACCCGCAGCACTCCCAACCCATCGGCCAACACAACAAGGAACCCGGTGGGGAAGAAGATGAGGGGTCACGGTACCTAGATCAGACAGCCGAGTGGGCAAGCAAGTAACGTGTGTCATCATCGTGAGTATGAAAAGGCTTGTTGCCTCGAAATTTGAGGTTATTACCAGGCAGCTGCGCACAGAACGGGCAAGTGCGGAGATATATGTACGTATCTGACTCTATGTAATCTCCCGCGAACAATGGCCGCTGAGCACTTCATTGAACCTTGAGCTTAAGCTTAAGCTTGACCTTCCGCCGAATCGCTGATGACATCTCTGAATGACTCGGTTATCCTTCTTGACAGCTCTTGAGCGTGGGGGGCAAGTGCACTTTACTTTATCTTGACCAGCCTGCGCAACTCGAATGGGTTGTTGGTTACAACTTGCCGGAGACTCAGACAAGGCCTTTCCATCTGAGTACGTCTCCTACTGAGGCAGGAACACGGGTACACTAAGCCCATAGCTGATGGCACCAGATGTAACCCGATACTGTACTAATCCTCCGCATGCATGTCTGAGTTCTCCGATTTAACTGAACTCGATCCAAAGCAGGAATTACTAATACCTTAGTGACTGATCATGTAAACTTACACCATATAAGTCTGTCGCGAAGTCTACAATGGCACTCTTTCATGGGGCGGGCCCGCACGGCGAAGACACAGGTACAAATATCACAGGAAATTAATATCGGGTTGATTAAGCTTGCGATTAATTCATATCGTCCAATTATCATCCAGCGCTCATAACGGGCTACATATAAGAACAATATTGTGTGTGACGTTTCTTGCATATTTACATGCATATGGCTCTTTGAGGCATATATATGTGCAGTCCACATCCAGGAATTTAGTTGCCAGTTCATGGTATCGCCCGAACAGGTTCTCGATTAGTACAGTTTCGGACGGTTTGTGTACAGGAGAATTTCAGTGCAGGGTTCTCGCCGTCTCGGTTAATATATTGCGGCATGGTGGCCTTTTTCGTAACCTCATTTGCTCATTGGATGAATTACATAATCATTCAATTGCACCACTAACACTGCGCAGATAAGTCCATAACAACCCGAATGCCATCACGTCAAGATTTTAATCTTTACGCGAACTATCTATCAGATTGGGCCACGCGACAATCTAGATATCTATGGCTCGTCTTGGTGCCTGCTTGTTAACGCCCAGGATTAATCGATTTTCTACCGACCTAAGTCCCTGACTGATATCTAATCATTACAGCTGTGCAATTTCTGCCGGACCCGAACCTTTGGACCAACTATCGGATTAGTAATCGACTCTGAATGCCAGTGTACCACACATTGTATGTTGCTATGATACTCTGGCATAAGGCTGCGCGATATCGTCAGTGAAAACACAGCAACAACCACCGTAAGCTTAGGAGTTATATACAAGGGTAGTGCTATTTACAAGATCCGGGTTTAGGATACGCTAGTACGTAGGCCACCAGTTTGGCACTCTTTTGATCCTGCACCGAAATTGAAACGTTTACAAGTTGATGATGACAGGAGTGTACGGACTACGTTAACCTGTCAGATTACCTCGTCTTGCCACCAGATTCATTTGCTTTCGCGCAACCTTTTCAGCGTGAAAAAAAAATAACAAGTTTGCGCTGCATAGAATCAGGATGATCGCATTTGAGGTCCTGATTGAAACCCACCGAGACCGTCTTCGCGGTTAGAGCATGCCGCTAAGAGTCAATGGAATCAACCATGAGTTTGGGTTTGAGACTGTGCTCACGTAGGAATGTCCTGTCTCGAATGATTCTCGGCGTCCCACACCCTTGCTATTCTATCTTTTAGCAAATTCACTCACCACCAACCCTACACAAAACAACACTTTACCGACGTCCCGGGCGAACACCTTCCCTCTCTCGGTATCCAATATTCTTATTCCCACTGTCCGCATCTTCCCGTGGACGACGGCGTGGCTTACTTACGGTGCGTCATCTCCGTCTCGCTAGTCTTACCCTATCTAGTCACCACTACTCAAGTTCCATACTCGCAGGTCGCTGCTTGAACAAGTGATGATCCGATGTTCGCCTAGCAGGTGAAACAAGTTGTGTTGTCCAAATTTTTGACGGGCGTTATTGCTGACATCCCAGGCGCTGGAGTACGTGATTGGTTGCCGAAGCGTGCAACGAAATAACGTTGGCCTAAAATAGTAGCTCACGGAGGGGTGCGTCTAGCGCGTTTATGTAAATGAACGGTGTGACCGAGGCGCCGCAACAAAGAGCCCAAGGCACATGTCCTTGGCGGGATGTGACCAAATTATATGTTTGCGCAGCCTGGGATGAACCGGTCATAAGTTAAGTTTCGTTTGTTAATGGACATTACCGTGACTAAATACGCGTGGAAATCGCCATTGGCATCCAGGACTCCCCAGAGAAATCAGGTACTTGGTTAAGGAAAGAGCCGCGTCGCATGAGGAGTTTGGAGACGGCCAAGTCGTACCTTGAAGATTGAGCCCTGATAGATCGAAAATCACGCGAATTGTGTGGCGGGCGCGTCTTTTCTGAAGTCGGCGCCGTCAAAAAAAGGATTTCCTTCGGATAGATCAAAAGCTTGACAGATCTTTTCACGCCAACGGTGACTCTACTTCAAGTTTTGGGGTTTCGAACCTGAGAGTGATGATGGGGTAAAATCAGGATGCACCGGTGCGTGCAACATTCTTCGCTAATTGGATGAGCAAAGACTTAATGGTGCATGTACGCAAGGCCGAATGAACGGATACCGGCGTGACACGCTGAACGAATGTCACGCAACCAAAGAGTGCAGCCTTGGCGTCCGCCGTCCGTTCAGGTTTTACTTACAGCCGTGATGTGATGCCGGCAGTTCCAACCCGTGTTGGGGAGGCTCCATTCGTGAAAAAATGGCACATCTCCTTGAAAACGTGTTATGAATGCGTCAGCGTGTCATCCGGCCAGCACAGACGCACCACTAAAGATTTGGGATAATTGAGGAATAGTCCACTTTCAATCTTCGTATGTATGATGAAATATATCACAGAGCCTGAGTGAGAAAAAAGTACTTGAATCCAGCATGACTCTAATATTTCGATCTTCCCCGAGAAGAATGTCGGATGGAAGCTTCAACCAACAATCCTATCGAGAATTGCTGCGAAAGATTCTCATCGAGCTTGAGTTATTTGTTGGCTCACTCGATACGCCATGTTAGTCTTCAGGCCCATCAGCCCGATCCGAGGACCGCGCCAAAGACGGTTGTTATGAGTAACATACATAATAGTTGTGAGCGGGCGATGCCCAGAAGCCTCAAGGCCAACTGGTGTAAGTCACCGAGCCCTGCCATCAGAGAACTTCATGAGTCCGTGACCATGGTAGATCCGTGGCGACGTATAGGATGGACATAATTTCTGCTTCTGCTAAATATCGTTATGTATACAATGCGAGAGAGTTGAGTTACTGGTACCTACGCCATGAATGTCTGAAATCTAGATTACCCATGAGGAGTTCGTGACAAGATCACGACTTTGCAACCATCACAGCTGGAAAGCTATAACAGCGTAATTAGATACAACTTGTTGAGCAATATCATATTCCGTTATTTATGTTTGGAATTATAATGTTATTCAGGACTTTGTGGTGGAAAACGCCATTAGACTTGATATCCCATCTAGATTCGTATGAGAGCTCCCGACAGAGTCACAGGATTGCACCATCACGGCCAGAAAGGTATAATAGCGCGATTAGGGCCTACCTGTTAAGCAATGTCATATTCCATCATTTATGTTTGGAACTACAATGTTATTCAGGGCTTTATGGTGGAAAATGCCATCAACCTTTGTCATCCAATCTAGTTTCGTATGAGAGCTCCTGACAAAGTCACGATTTTGCAACATCGCAGCCGCCGAGGTGTTATAGCGTAATCAGGTCCT